ATTCCTTCACTCGTTCCTTCATTTACTCACTCGTTCGTTCACTCCTTCATTCGTTCCTTCACTTAGCCATTCATGCCCTCGCTCTTTCATCGCTTCCTTCACTCGTGTGTTTACTCATCCGCTCCTTCATTCCCTTGTTCCTTCATCCATCCATCCATCCGCTCCCTCCTTCCCCGGGCCAGGTGAGGGGCCTCTCCCCCCCCTCCCCGGGTCAGAGCTTGGGGCCCAGAGCCCGAGGATGTCGGACCACTGGAGAGGACCCCAGATCCCCGGAGGCCCCCGGGATGGAGAGCGCCCACTGTGTGCCTCCCAGCCGGGCAGCGCCCACTGTGTGCCGCCAGAGCCAGGCGGGGGGGGCGGGGAGGTCGGGGGGCTCGGCTCCGCTCATGACCTTGGACGGGTCCCCTTCCAGTCCCCGGAACTGAGCCTCGGCTCTCGGGCTGAGAAGCAGGGGGAGGGGCGGGAAGGCCCAGGAGTGAGGAAGGTGAGGGAGCAGAAGAGCCATCGTGACCCGTGACCCCTGACCCCTGACCGGGCCTCCGCCCCCTCCCGCCCGGCCGTGTGCATGGCGCATGCGCACCTTCAGGGTGACCCTCCTCTTGTCATCCTGAAGGACGCCCGGAGCGGCCTCCTGCGTGGCCCAGCCGGAGCAAGGACGCCCGGCCTGGCCCGGGCCCGGCCCCGCGCCGCTCCGCTCCGCTCCCTCCCCTTCCCTGCCCGGCCAGCTAAGCTGTGCACCCACCTGGAGGAAGGGCCGGCACCGCTACCGCCGCCGCCGCCACTGCTGAACCTCAGGGCCGGGTCGTGCGGGGGGCCCCTCCTCTCCCATCACCGTCTGGCAGCTCCCATTGGAGCGCTGGCCTATCACTCAGGCGCGCAGGGCGGAAACGGCGAATTTTGATTGGCCGAGAGGCAAGAAGCGGAACCACAAGCTTGAATCCGCGGATGATTGGCCGAATTTAGAGCCGCCCAGGAAGCCAAGCTGGGCGGCGTCATGTTCGTCCGGATGAGCCAATGAGCAAAGACGCTGCCGTCATGTGAGGGACGAGCGACGCCGGGCGTCACGTGTTTCGCTCCGGGGGGGCGGGGCAAGGGTGCGCGTGGGAGGGGCGTGAGAGCGGTTAAGAAGTGCGGCTTCAGTTTCTAGTCTATGAAGTGGGCACGTGGAGCTCTCCTTGGTGTGTGAGCTAGTGCAGGCGTCCAGGCTGCTCCAGCCTCAGTGTCTTTAACTGGAAAGGAAGGGGAGGGGTCTCTGCGCCCCCGTGATGCTCAGAGCAGCCCAGGCCACCCCGCCCCGCTCGAATCCAGCGTTTGCTGCGATGCTTGTCATGCCCCACCCTCCGTCGCCCCATCTGGGGTCTTCTTGGCAGAGATCCTGGGGTGCTTTGCCATCTCCTTCTCCAGCTGGTTTTACAGAGGAGGAAACTGAGGCACACAGGGTGACGTGACTTGCCCAGCTAGGAAGTGTCTGAGGCAGGATTTGAACTTGGGTTTTTCCGACTGCAGGCCGGAGGCCCAGGGCACTGTGCTGCCCCCTGGCTGCCCTAGTTATTAAACACCTATTAAGCGCCTCTGTCCAACTACAGCTCCTAGTTGTGGGGAGCCTGCATTCTGGGAGTGGGGGGCACAGGACCCCCTAAATAGCAAGTCATTGGGCAGTGGGAGCAGAGGTCGGGAAGGAGGTGCCCCGGGCCGAGCCTGGAGGAAGCTCGGGATGCCGGCTGGGGCACCTGCAAAGACTGGGAGGTGGGAGATGAGCAGATGCATGAGGAGTGATGAGGAATCAGCTGGGAAAGTTAAGGGGGAACCCAATTGGGAAGGGTTTTTAACGCCAGAGGAGTCTGTGCTCAATCCTAGAGGCACCGGGGAGCCCCCGGAGTCTCTTTAAAATGGAGTGGCAGCCCTTACATTTCATGACTGTGCAGGGGAGGGACCAGAGAAGGGAGATGCCAGGTGCAGGGAGGCTGTGGCAGGAGCCCTGGCAGGGGTTGGGGTGGGGGAGCTGCGTCACGATGGGGAGAGGGGAGCGTCAGGAACGACTGTGAAGCTGCCAACCTGGGGGACTGGACAGATGGGGCCCTTTGGGACAGGCAGGGTTTGAAACCCCCCTGGAGCAGAACTAAAGGAGACCTCAAAAGGCCATGGTCCAGCAGGCACCTGGGCAAGAATTCAAACTGACGGTGTTGTCTAAGTGTCACCTGGCTTCTGCTTAGAGGACCCCCCCCCACCCATCCCTCAGCTCTCCTGGTTAAAAAGCCCACCCAGGCACTGAGTCCACATCTCCCTCTCGCTAACTCCCACACATTGCTTCTAGTTCTGTCCTCTGGCCCTGAGCAGAAAAGACAGAATTTACTTCGGGAAGACATTTAGAGGTCACTGGGTCCAGCCTCCCCACAAAAGGGGAATTTCCCCCACAGACAGCAGCCCGTCCCTCATCCCTGGTCAGTCTGCTCCAGACTGAACGTCTCCAGGTCCTCCATCCAGTCCTTGAATGGCTTCATTTCTTGACTAGCCTGTCCAGTGTTCCTCTAAAAATGTGGTGCCTAAAACCGAGCTGGGGCCCCAGCCTGGCTTGGAGGCTCAGCTCAATAATCAGACAGCTGAATTTGGGTTCCCCACAGGGCCTTTACTTAGAACTGGGCAGCACCAGGAATCCTAGGGCCCCTCTGCCCCAGGTACAGACAGACAGCCAGTAGGGCTGGAAGGTCAAGTCCAAGGGATCTCCTGCCCCTGTGTAGCCCTCACTACAAGTTCATCTCCACCATGCCGCTGAGACCCACGGGCCAGGTGCACGGCAGAAAGAGAGTCCTGGTGCCCGAGAGAGGGGGGCAGCCCCCCAGCTCAGAGGAGCGTGCATTGGCCCTTGCGGCTGATGTCCACCATCGACAGCAGCAGCCCGAGGTTACGCTGGGCATAGGGTGGGTACCGCAGGGAGTTAAGCTTCTCCATGCCCGGGCTCCGCAGGAGGCAGCCTCGCTGATGTGAGAACGTATCGAAGCTGAACTTTCCGTGATACATACCTATCCCACTGTTTCCTACAAGACAGAAAGGCAGGCAGCCTGTGAGGGGGCAGCGACGGGGGTTTGGGCAGCCCTCCTCCTTCCCCCCATCCCCACTTTCAGTACAGTTCCCATCCCGCCAGCCAGAAGTGTTGGGGGAGGGGGAGATTCAGCAAAACCCCCATCAGCACTGGGACATGGAATCAGGTAAAAAGTCTTGTGTCAGAGCGGTCTGAGCCGAGGCAAAGTGAATTGAGAAGACCCGGGGGGGCGCCCCCCCCCCCCCCCCCCACGGTAACTGCAACGTTGTATGGTAATCAGCTGTGAAAGCCTTGGCTGCTGGGATGAAGACAGTGACCCGAGACCCATGATGAGCCAAAGGACCCATGGTGGAAAATGCTCTCCTCCTCCAGAGAGAAAATGATGGACTCCGAGTGCACATGCAAGTAGGATTTTCTCACTTTCTGGTTTTTGGGGTTTTTTTTGTTGTAATGTGGCTAAAATGGAAACAAGTTTTACATATTTCCCATGTATAATTGATAGCATTTAGTTTGCCTTATCAGTGAGTGGGGGAGGGGAAGGAGGGAGGGAGAGAACTTGGAATTCAAAATTTAAAAAGAAAAGAATGTTTAAAAATAATAAAATTTTTTTTAAAAGTCTTACATCTTTTGCTACTGAACGGTGAGTCCATGGGGGCAGAAATGGCCTTTTCCACCCTTTGTGTGAAGATTAGACCCAGGACCCAGAAGGGCAGTTTGAGTCAATAAACATTAAAGTCTGTGTCAACAGCACGATACAGTGGAGGAGGCCTGGGAATCAGGAAGGCCTCAATTCAAGTATTCCTAGTGACCCATTACAGATACTGTGCAAGGACCAGGAAAGGCCAGGCTGTCTGCAGCATTTCTCCTGACTTTGGAGAGAGCCGGGGCCGCAGGGATTGGACAGGGTCATGAGGCGGAGCTCGAGACCTACCTACTCCTCCAAAGGGCAGCGTGGTCAGCGTCATGTGCATGAAGCCGTCATTGCCACAGAAGCCCCCGCTGCTGGTCCGCTCCAGCATCTGGCTCACCACCTAGAAGAAAGCCAGGGATCAGGAGATGGCTGGGCATGCTGCCATGCTCCGGCCATGCTGTGGCCCCTGGGCGCTCTGCGGCAGGAGAGAGGCTGAGGAGCACGCCCCTGACCAGTCCCTGTGACAGGTGCCCTGTGTAGCGACCTTAGTTACTTTGGAGTGCTGAAGCAGCAATACCAAGGCAAGGAGCCTGAGGGGTGAGGCCCTTCTCTGAGTCCCCCAGATTCTTCCCTTGCACCTGGCTCTAGGCCCATCACTTCAGGCCTGGACTGCTCCATAGACCTCCTCGGCTTCCAGTTTTCCACCCGGTTGCCAAAGGAGACTTCCTGAAGCATAGTTCTAAGTATGCCACTGCCCTGCTCAAGAACCTTCCATGTCTCCCTCTTACCTTTAGGATAAAATAGTATCGTAGATTTGGCAATGGGACGGACTGTCAGAATTACCTAGTCCAGTCCCCCCCCCCCACTTTTATGGAAGAGGAGACTGACCAGTGAATCCCAGAGCTGGAGCAGGGTTCTGAGGCTGTAAAGTTTAACTCATTTGTAAATAGGAATCCCCTCTATAACGGTAGGGCAAGTGGGTGGCACAGTGGATAGAACACTGGGCCTGAGTTCAAATCCAGCCTCAGACTCTTATTAGCTTAGTGACTTTGAGCAACTCACCTATTATTGCCTCAGTTTCCTCAACTGTAAAACGAGCTGGAGAACGAAATGGCAAACAACTCCAGCATCTCTGCCAAGAAAACCCCAATGGGGTCATGAAGAGTTGGAGGTGACTGAGCGACCAGTACCGCACTGCCGAAGACGGAGTGGTTGGCCATCCAGCCTGCTCGAAGACCTCAGGAGATGGGCGTCTCTCCCCTTCTTGGACGGCCCATTCCTGCTTTGGGGCAGCCCTCTGTGGGAGGCCCATTTCCTGATATCCAGCCCCTCTTCCTCTGCAGTTCCTTCTCCTTTCTCCTGGTTCTACCCTCGGGGCCATGCAGGACAAAGCCAATCCCTCTTCTTTTTTTTTTAAGGCAGTTGGGGTTAAGTGACTTGCCCAGGGTCACACAGCTCGACCAATCCCTCTTCTTCAGGACAACTCTGCCTAAAGTACTTTCTGTTGTTCAGTCGTGTCAGACTCTCCATGAGCCCCTTTGGGGTTTTCTTGGCAGAGATACTGGAGCAGTTTGCCATTTCCTTCTGCCCTTCATTTTACAGGAGGAACTGGGGGTCACACAGCTAGGAAGTGTCGGAGGCCAGATTTGAACTTGGGAAGTTGGGTCTTCCCGACTCTAGGCCCAGCATGCTATCCGCTGTGGCGCCACCTGGCTGCCCCTAGAGTACTTAGATGGCCGCTATTCGGTCTCCTAAGCCTTCCTCCCTTCCAGGTTTTATGCTTCCAGTTCCTTCAGGCCTCCAAGCCTCTTGCCATCCTACAGGAGATGCTCTCTAACTTGTCAACTGACTTCTTAAAATGTGATGCCCAGATCTGAACATGGAGTAATGTCACCTCCATGGTTTGGCACCCTTCGGAGGCCTCTTGGCTTTCTTGGCCGCCATGGCAAACTTGACTCATGGCAACCTTGTGGTTCACGAAATTCCCTCAATTTTTCTTATAGAATATGATGCCTCCCCCAAACTTGTGAAGTTTTTTTAAAAACTGCATAGGACTTAGTATTTTCCCATATTAAGATTGATCTGATTAGATACACCCCGTCATTCTCATTTATCAGGGTTGTTTTTGGAAGCCGACTCTGGTCCGGTGTGTTGGCCATCCTGCCCAGCTTCGTGTCATCTGGAAATCTGAGAAGCAGCCATCTGTTTTTCATCCAAATCACTGATAACCTGTGTTGACTGCACGAGTCCAAGAACAGAGCCTTGTGGCACTCTGATGGAGACCTTGTATACTAACCCATTAATGACGCTCTTGGAGACTGGGCATTCAGTGAGTTCCCGTCATCTGGCCAGTGTCACTATTGTATCCAGGAGGAGAACATGAGAGACTTGTCGAGTACTTTGCTAAGATCTAGATAAAGTATATCTGTGGCATTGCCTCGTAACCCGGTCAGAAGAGGAAATGCGCTTACTGCGGCATGACCTGATGTTGAGGAGGGCCAGACTGGCTCTGAATCATCACTTCCCTTTGTAAATGGCTACACGTCTCCCTTCCGTAAGACATTCTGGACTTTGTCAGGAATCAGAGTCAAGGTCAGCAGGCTGTAGTTTCCAGACTCTGCTCCATGTAGCAAGGACTACCGCTCTCCCTCAGACAGCCCTGGGGCGCGCTTTGGCGCTCCCACTCCTCGAGTCGGAATCTGAGGTTCGGCATGTTTGTGTCTCGGGTTTTGGGGCCCCCGGGGCCGTGAGCTTTATTGCTGTCCCCTTCTTGCCTCGTTCTTCCTCTGTCAAACCTGCCGTGGTGAACCTCTGTGGTGTCAGACTTGGCAAATCCCTGTGGACGGTTTTGTCCTGCAGGCCCGCTTTCTAGTTCAAAGCTTTTTGATCAGGTTCATGAGACTTCATGACATGTTTCCACTTGCCCTCATTAGGGCTCTCCATCCCTGAGCATGTGTCTGTGCACGCCTCACTCGTGTAATAAACCACCACCAAGATCCAGCCCCTCTCAACTCACAACCTTATCAAGGAATGAAATTTGCTCAGCACAATAAAGAAACCCATCTTAACAGCCATAGGAGAATCGCACCTAGGATCCAGGCAGGGAAAGTGAGGTGTGTGGAAGCTGAACAAAGACATGAATCTGGGTAGAGATGGGGGGAATATAGGTGCTAGAAGAGAAGGCCAGAAAGGATGGGTTATTGAACCCTGCAAGGCCGCAGTTAGGAAGAAACCTTGCGGTTCCTTATTTTTCTGGGGAGAACTAGCAGCTTTAGAGAAGAAACTTGGATCCAGCCCAGGAAGCAGAGACCCACCTGGTCGCCTTTGGTTCCATTCTGCCCCCTCTCCCCAGGCATCACTGACCTTTCTGACCCTAGCCCCTCCCTTCAGGCTCCACTGTCCTGTCTTTCTCTGGACCCCTCACTCTGTCCCCACTGCCTTCTCTATCCCTAGACCCTCCACTCACACCTCAGTTTCCTCTATTTTCCTGCCACCACCATCCCCTTCCCTTACCTTGGAGTCCTTGGAGAAGGCGTATAGGGCCAGGGGCTTCTCTCTCTTCCTGATGAAAGCAATGGCCTCATCGATGCCCTGCACATTCAGGATGGGTAAAATGGGCCCAAAGATCTCCTCCTGCATCACGGGGTCTGTCTCCTTCACATCCACCAGCACCGTGGGGGCTGCCTCGGACCACAGAGGAGACCTTAGGCTGGGGCTCTCAGAGGAACCCCAGGGCAGGGGAGCAGAGGTGCTGGGGACGTGAAAATGTCATCATAGGGCAGACTCGGGGGGGAAAGCAATGCACGCCATGCCATGGAGACCCTCACAGGGGCCTGGTCACAGAGGTCAGTGGGGACAGGGACAGCTGCCCACACCTTGGCTCCCTGCGGCTCCTTCGGAGCTGCCAGCCCCAAGGACCTTGGGGGAAAAGGGGGCCACTCACCAATGTAGCGTTCCTGCTCGTCTGACTGGCCGCCGATGGCTGCTCGGCCATTGCCCAGCAGGCCTCGAAGCCTGTGGAAGTGCTTGTCGTTGATGATGCGGCCCAGGTCTGGGGAACTCTGGGGATCCTCCCCATAGAACTGGGTCACTGCATTTTGCAGGGCAGGCAGCAGCTTCTCCTGCGTCTCCCGGGTGCACAGGATGTAGTCCGGGGCCACGCACGTCTGTCCCGCATTGAAGAAACGGAACCAGGCCACACGGTTGGCCACGTTCTGGGGGTCACAGTTGTCGTCCACGTAACAGGGGTTCTTGCCTCCCAGCTCCAGCGTGATGGGGGTCAGGTACTTGGAGGCAGCGGACATGACGATCCGACCTACGGAGGGGTTCCCTAAGGAAACAGGAGAAGTGTAGACCATCTCAGCACCTCTCCACCTCCCTGCAGACCAAGGAACCTTGGGTTTTCATAAGGTTGTAGGCTTTAGATCTGGAGGAATCTGAGAGGTCGTTCAATTTAACCCTTTCTAACCCACCTTCCACAGAGCTACTGTGTTGGTCCCCTGACTGTCTCCTCCCCTGAAACTTCTGGGGCTCCCTGTTACCTAGGACCAAAGACAGAAGCCTCAACCCCACCCCTAAAGCCCTCCATCATCTGCCTCTCCCAGGCCTTTCTATTCATTTATTCCCCAGCACTCCTTCCAGTCAGAGCAGCCCACTTTCTATTCTCTCTAATGGGCATCCCGCAGCTGGGCTCCGAAGTCAGTTGTCAGAAGCTCCCCCTTCCTCATCTCTGCTCCCTCTTAACACACCTCTCCTGAGCACCCCAGCTATCAGCTGTTTCCCTCCTGGCATCATTTTGCACCCTTTGTAATTGTTTACATGTGTGTGGATTGTTTTCCACCTTCTCCTGGCTGTAAGGGCAGGGATCCCCATGGAGGCCAGAGAGGAGGAAATCACCTTTTCAGGGTTGTGAGGAGAGCCAGGATTGGAAGGAGTCATCTGAATCCAAATCCTAGCCCTTGCCACAATAATCCCCAAAGGTTTTCTGTCCAGGAATCCAGCTCTTGCTTTTCTCCAAGGCTCTGAAAGAGTAACTGCCTTGGGGGTGGGCAGATCAAACCTGAGGCATTCCACACCTCCCAGATGGGGGCCCCCCTCTCTCCCAGGGCTGTGCTGGGTCAGCTCTGCTAGCTATGGGGAGGGAAATGGGGATCCCCATTGGTTCCCCATCCTGGAGGAGTTCTCCAGGAGACCAGCCCTCTGGCCCTGACTCTGAGACTTTGGACAATCTCCGTTCCCCTCCAGGCCTCTATTTCCCCATCTGTAAGATGAAGAGGTTGGACCAAAGGGTCTCAGAGGCTCCTCTTTCCAGAGTTGTCTGTTCCAGTCTGGTCAGGGAAACATGACATGCCCACTATCTGCTCCCTTCCCTCCGCTCCCACTAACCCCACAAGTGTCCAAGCCCTCTTCACCTCTCCCGGGTCATGGTGTGGCCTCCTAACTATTCTGACTGGCCCACACACTCCTGCCCAGCTCATCTTCCCATTAACCTCTCTGCCGTCGTCCACATCACCCTGTCCCTAGCCCCACGAACAGGTCTGCGAGGTCTCCCACGCCAATAACTCAGGACCAGCAGCAGATTTCCCAGGCATCCCACTGTCTGTCTGCACATGCAGTGACACACAGGATCCATGTTTAACTGGCCTCCCCAAACCATGCATCCCTTGTCTCATCATCCCACAGGACCCTCCCTGCTGGGCTGGACTCACCTGTGAAGAAGATGTAGTCAAATTTGTTCTCCAGGAGGGCAGAGGTCTCCTGGGGTCCTCCCAGCACCACAGCAAAGCAGTTCTATGACCCAGGAAAGAGGAGTTCCCTTGAGGCAGCCTGTGACCCCTGGGAAGCCTGTCAAGACCCTCTGCCTTGGCCTGGAAGGCCCCTCCTCCCCTCCACCACTTCCTAGAGCTCTAGGTTCAAATGCTCCCCCCCCACACACACAGGAGGCCTGTCCTGATCTCACACCCCTGAAGTGACCTCCTAGCTACTTTCAGTCTCTATTGTATTTACTTAGTGGGTGCATGATGGTTCCCTCATAGAATGGAAGCTCCTGGGGGTAGGGCTATTTGGTTTTTGTCTTTATATCCCCTGGAGCACCTGCCTGACACATCTAGATGTTTAACAAATGCTTGTTGCCTCAATGACAACTGGATTTTCTCCCCTGTCCTGGCATGACCAGGGTCCCCAACTGTAGTATAGGGCGAGTAAGGTAGTTCTCTTCAGGGCCTGAAGATGGAAAAGATTAAGCAATGTGTGTGTGTGCGCGCATGTATGTGTGTGTGTGTGTGTGTGTGTGTGTGTGGTGGAGAGGGTTAGGGGGGTGGGTGTGTGTGAAACACCCAGGATGGACCCATAGCCTTGGAAGGCAGGATGTGGGCCAGCTGCTAGCCTGTGGAAATGAGGGTCCCAAGGCCCTGACTAGGAGGCTGGGGTAAGGGATTGGGCTCCTTTTGTTATTGGCTTCTTCTCTGACTCCCCCATCTCTCCTCCCTAGGCCCCTCCACACACCAAGTAAAACCCAAACGGAGCCACCTACAAGCCAAGGGCCACAGAGGAGAAGGCCTCCTTCAGCCCCGACTGGCTCAGCACCTGACATTTCCCACAGTTCCCCAGGGTCCTTGGGGAGGGATGTAGGAAGCTGAGGGATGTAATGAAACTGATTGTTTGGGGGACACCTCGGACTGACTGATCTCTGGAAGGAAGACCCCCAACAAAATGAGTGACCCCAGTGGTGAGCTGCGTATACCCCCAGGTCAGGGCTCTGACCCGGGGCTCCCTTCCCAGCCTCTTTCCAGGGCTGGTGCATTCTGGGTGTGGAGCATGGCACCTGTAAGGCCTTTTCAATGCATTGACCGCTTTTGAAGAGCTGCTCCTTTCTTCCCTTATTCCTTGGTAGAAGGGGTGGTTCTTAGGGAGACCGGAGGTGGGGAGATAGATTGGGAAGGGTAGGTAATATAAAAATAATATCAATAAAAATTTCTTCTAAGTGAATTGGGGATGAATGGACAAAGAGTATGGATGGACACTCACTGGGAATGAGTGAAAAGTTGCAATAGTTTAGGCATTAAACTGCCCACAGTGATTGCATCGACTCAGGACCTCTCTCCAATGGTATAGGTAGCAGCCCATCCATGCCCAGCCTTCCTGGGTGACTCTTGTTCGTGCCCTTCCATAAGCTGGTGGCAGAGTCCACCCAAAGTGCTGGAGGCCTTCCTCACTGTCTCTGGAGGTCTCTAGAATACCAAGGAATACTCTGGCTGTCTCCCCTCCATCCCTTGCTCTTACCAAGTGACCAGACCATCCTCTGGGCATTGAAATAAATGTGTATGATAACAATGAGCTTGCTGAACAGAGCCCCTGGGACCCCATGAGTTACCCAGAACTGACTAGAGAGAAGCCCTGTGGCCCAGCTGGGGCTTCCCTCCCCTCTCCATGAAGCCTTAGAGTGCAGCTGAAAGATCTAGGTCAGAAGCCAGCTAGAACAAGTCACTCATTTTACACATGAGGCCCAGAGAGGGGACATTACGCTGGTCACGGTGGGGCTGGAATTCAAACCCAGGTTGTCTACCCTAAACGCCTGCAGCAATTGCCTCGGGTGCTTGGACAGATCCGGGTGCTGAAGGCATTGGAGGGCTGGGGAACACGGGACCCTGGGCCATATCCCCTCACCTTGTCCAGGTAGCTGGGCAGCACTTCACTAATGATCTTCTCCACGCTGTTGCTCATTTCCGAGGGCTTTACCACCACACAGTTGCCTGCAGGGAGGAGGAGAGGCAGGTTAAGGCACCGGGCCCCAGCCAGAGGTCAGCTTGTCAGAGAGGTCCCAGCGGCCAGGGAGCTGGGGGCTAAGGAGTTCTGAGCCCCTGGCAAGTCCCTTTACTCCAGGGCCACGGGGCACTTCCCCCCTCTTCTCAGTACTTGACTCTACCCCTTCCCAGGACCCAAGGGCATCATCACAGAACATTGGCTAAACTGCTCATTCTCACAATTGAACTATAGAGGGCAGCCTTGTCCTGGGTTCCACGGTCCTGCACTTGGCTGCTGCCGGAGAGTAGACCAGCTCTAGCTTCTGTATAGACACGCCCCTGGCAAGGGAGGATGGGGCAGGGGCAGTGGGCAAGGACAGTTTGGAAGGGCATGAGACAGAGAGATGGTCAGAGGAAGAAGGAGGTGAGGAAAGGGAGATGGAGCTAGGGCAGAACACGTCTTGTTCACTCAAGTATTTCATCGATTTTTAAGGCCTGGGAGGAACCTTAGAACATAGAACCTAGAATGTCAGAACTGAGCCTTGGAACCCAGAAGGGAGATTGTTGGATGGGGACATTCCCAGGGGTCATCAAATGAATGTGGAGGGAACCAGAGGACAGGCAGGGGACTGGCCAGTGATGTCACAAGCTGAGTTTCTTTCCTTTAAAATACTTTTCCCCAGCCCCCGGATTCTTAGGATAATACTTCTCTCCCCCACCCCCAGCCTGCACTCTGCCACTGCCTCTCCCTCCCTATTAAGGGGCTTTAAAGCTGGAAGAGATCTTAGGTAGGCCCTCGGTCAACCCCATTTTGCAGCAGGAAGAAAATGAAGCCCAGACAGGAGTCTTGTCCAAGGTCACTGGGTATATCAGGGCTGTCTTAGGACAAAAATTCTGGGTCTCCTCACTCACATTGGCTGGTCTCCTCCCTCTCTGTTTCCCTCTCTGCTCCCCATCCCATACCCCTTCCAGCCATTTTGGGGAGAGAGAAAGCTCCTGCCCGAGAACAATAGGGCCTGAGCAGGTGAGCACAAGTCTGGGGTAGCAGCAGGGACGAGGAAGTCCAGGCCCTCATTCCTTACCTGCTGCGATGGCCCCAACCAGAGGAACTAGCACGAGGTTCAGAGGGTAGTTCCAGGGGGAAATGATGAGGACCACGCCATAGGGCTCCTTCCGGATAAAGGCTGTGTCCAGTTGGGTGGCCTGGTGACAAAGGAATGAGAGCCTAGGCCCCTGACCCTGGATCTCAGCTTGGGGCTCCCCCCTCCTTGCTTTAAGAAATCCCGGGAACCAGAGGGAAGAGGGGGGAAGGAAACACCTTCAGAGAAGCCTCTCTCCCTGTCTCCTACCCCCCACTGGCCCCGCAGCTGTCCCATCCTCCCTCCCCAGTTATCCATAGCTCACCAGGTTTTTAGACACATGCTCATCCTTCATCCAGCTGTGCAAGTTGTTCAGAGCCAGGTTGATTTCACTCTGACAGATGCTGATTTCTGATATCTCAGACTCAAAGGGAGCCTGGAGGAGGAGGTGGTCCATAAGTCAGGCCCCAGGGCCCTCCCCATGTATCCCAGGAGCATGGCATACACCTAACCTCCACTCCAAACCCCTAAACATCCTTGTCTGATGTTGCATCCTGCAACAGGAGGAGGAGGAGGAGGAGGAGGAGGAGGAGGAGAATGACCTCGGGTCCTTGGAACCTCTGCCAGCTGAGACAGATCCTATCCAGCTTGAAAGGCCTGACTTAGAGCCCTGAGTGTGGTTCTCTCCACAGGCTGCCTATGGCTTAAGGACCAGCTGGGCCATTAGAGCTCTGCACTGCTACTCTCAAAAATCATTAGATAAGTCATACAGGGAACATCCTCCAGTAACAGGATTACAGAGCCTTGAAGCCTAGGATCAGTCAGCCAATAAGCATTTATTAAGTGTGTATCTGGGTGCTAAGCCCTGGAGATACAAAGGCAGAAACAGAGGATGCCCTCAGGGAGCTCCCTCTCCATAGGGGGAGATATGTAAATAACTGGGTGTACAAGATTGAGAATAAATGGAAGGCAATCTAACACTAAGACGACACTAGGGGGCAGGAGAGGGGGACCAGAGAAGGCCTCCCGCACAAGGTGGGAGCTGAGCGCAATCTTGAAGAAAGTCAGGGAAACCAGGAGGCTTGCAGCTAACCTGGGCAAAGGCGTAGGGGAGCGGGGCAGCCCATGCTGCAGTTTGAATGGAGCAGTCTGTGAAGGAGAGTTACCTGAACAGGGCTTAAAATGAACTTAAACTTGGACCTACATGTACAAAAATATTTATAGCAGCTCACTTCTGGGGTCACAGAATTGGAAATTGAGGGTTGGCCCATCCATTGGGGAATGGCTGAACAAGTTATGGTATGTGATTATGATGGAATGCTATTGAGCTGTAAGAAATGATGAGCAGGATGTTCCCAAAAAACCTGGAAAGTCTTGCACGGGCTGATACAAAGTGAAATGTACTGTGTACAAAGTAACTACATCGTAAGACGATTAGCTGTGAATGACTTCGCTCTTCTCAGCAACGCAATGATCTGAGACAACTCTGAAGGAGTCATAATGAAAAATGTTATCCATGCCCAGAGAAAGAATTGATGGTGTCTGAGTACGGACTGAAGCAGACTTTGAAAAAAATGAACTTCAACTTGAAAGGCTGCATTTTCTCCTGGCGGTATAGAGAGGCAACAAAGCTTTTGAGTAGGGGAGTGGCGCAGGCAGCTCTGTGCTTCACAAAAATGATTTTAACAGCTGAGCGGAGGAAGGGTCAGAGATGGAGCATCCAGGAGCCCAGTGGACAGTCAGGAAGCTGTTGAAATAATCCAAATGAGTGCTGTGTAGGGACTGGACCGGCTGGGGGCCTTGGGAATGGGCAGAAGAGCATGGATGACTAGGAGAGATGCTGTAAAGGTTGGACCAGCAAGCCTTGGCAACTGATTGGGTATGGGAGATAAAGAAGGGAGAGGACGTGGTCAAGGACAATTCCAAGGTCATGGCCATGGGTGTGTGGAAGGATGGTCATGTCCTTTAGAGAAGGAGGGGATTTGGAGAGGTGGGTTTAGAGGAAAAGGAAGAGGAGTGCCATTTTTGTGATGTCACATTCGAGATGCTCATGCGATGTCCAGGCGGAGATGCCCAGCAGGCTTTTGGTGGCAAAGGAACAGAGTTTAGGGGAGAGACCAGCCCTGAGTATGGAGAGTTGAGACTCATATGTGTAAAGATGAGAATGGATCCCATGGAACCCTGGGTCACCAGAGGAAAAGAGTATATGGAGAGGGGACCAAGCCTTGGGGAACACCCACAGAGAGAGGGAAGGAGACAGATGATGACTCAGCAAAGGAGGCAGAGATGCAGTCCTCAGACAAGCAGGAGGAAAATCAGGAATGGACAGTACCATGGGAAGCCAAAGAAGGAGGACGTAGAACCTCAGGATTTCACTGAGGGAAAAGATCCTTGTGGACAAGATTGAGAAATATGGACTGGATGGGAGCAGGGTGAGGGTAATTTACAGCTGAACAAATTTGTTGAGTTGTGTTAATGGATGCCAGCCTGAAAGGAAGTCTTCAGTGTTGGGCCATAGGACTCTACCCTATGATCTCACTGGTTCCAGATTTTCATCAGTGACTTAGAAGGCCTAAATAGCATGCTGATCACATATACCAATGACATGAATCTGGGAGAGATGAAGTTAACACTGGATGGCAGAATCAAGGTCCCAAAACAGACTGAAGACTAGGATGATGGGTCTAAATTAATAGGGATTCATCTAAGTTCTCGAACCTGGGCTGCTCAAGAACTCAACTAAGTACGGGACGGGAAAGGAAGGCTAGAAAATAGTTCATATGGAAATGACCTGGGAGCTTTGGCGGCCAGCTCCTCCACACGCATGTGAAAGGGACACCAGAACAACAAATGTTGTCGTTGGCCCCATGGAAAGGGTGGAGTTCCCAGAAAAGGCAGTGAGACCGGGGGTGAGAGTTCTACTGTCCTCAGCCTGATGAGGCCCCAGTGAGAGTCCTGCCCTGAGCACCCCGTGCTAGGGGGACATTGATGCTGGAGTACGCCCAGAGCTAGGGGAGGAGGATGGAGAGAAGCCTGGAAAATATGTCATGTCAAGCAAAGTCAAAAGGGGTGAGATAAGGCTCAGGGGTGTGGGATGGCTGTCTTCAACTTCTGGAGCGTCGTCTCACAGGGAGGAGGGACTCAATTTATTCTAGGTGGTTCTGGAGAATACAAGTAGAGCTAACAGCTAGAAAGTACAACGGGGCAGAGCTACCACGATTAAGGGGAAGGAGAAGCTTTCTACTAGGGCAAGGCACTGAACTGCCTTGTGAAGTGATGAGCTGCCCATCCCTGTCTGTGTTCAAGCAGAGGCTGGGGGGCTCCCTAGCAGGGAGGTTGTCAAAGGGGTTATGCATGGGAGGGAGGATGGAAAAGACACTTTTATGTGTTTTTTGGGGGTTTTTTAGGCAATTGGGGTTAAGTGACTTGCCCAGGGTCACACAGCTAGTAGGTGTCAAGTGTTTGGTCTGAGGCCGGATTTGAACTCAGGTCCTCCTGACTTCAGGGCCGGTGCTCTATCCACTGTGCCACCCAGCTGCCCCCAAAAAGACGCTTTTAAAGAACCTCTCCATGCCCAGGGTTCTGTGATGCTCTGAACTGGTCAGTCTCCAGAAAACCCTTTACAGTCTCACCTTGCGCAGATCCTGGGCCAGGGCAGCCAGCAGGGCATCTCGGTTCTCTTTCAGGAAGCGGTTCAGCCCCTCTAGCTGGGCAGCTCGGAACTCTGCTGGGCGGGTTCTCCCAGAGCCAAAGGCATCTCGGAGGCTCTGCAGGGTGTCCGTGAAGGGATTCATCCTGATTCAGAGAGAAGCAGGGATTGGCTCTGGGGCTGGGAGCTCCCTGCACACTGGCAGTACCCAGACACAATGCTCCGCCATACGGAAGCAGAGAACTTGTGCCCATTCATTATACACAGACTCCAGAAAACGCCCAAATACCAGCTCTCCTAGGAAGCCTTCCTCAGTCTCCCCAGCCCAAAGCTACCTCTCCTTCCACGGGCCCCTCTCAGCACACTCTCCCACTCGAGGAACAGAACTAGGTTGCACAACCTGGGGTCTAGAACCTGAGACCATTGAGTCCAACCCCCTCATTTTACAGAGGAGCACACCAAGGTCCAGGGCTGGCAGTGATCTGCCCCTACAGCTGGCAAATGGACGAGGTCCTATTGAGGCCCAGGCCTTCTGCTCTGGGGCTTTGGGGGCTGATTTTAAAAATACCATGACTGGGAACGAGGACCCTTGAACCGCCCAGGATGCAGCAGTCGCTGTCGCTGACATCTCTCGGTGAAGGTGGGAAAGAAAACTGGAGCATCTTAGAAAGGTTGTCATTAACAAATTTTCTCCACCCTTTCACCGGGCCTCAGCCTCCTCCACTGTGAAATGAAGGAGATAATTCCTAACTCACAGCTGGATGGGGAGAGTTGATGGGGCTGCCTCCCGGTGTGAACTCATCTTGACACCAAACAGGGTTTCAGGCTAACAACACCCTCAGGCTGCTGTTAAGAGTCCTTCCCCATCTGGCTCCCCCTAACTTCCCAGCCACATCTCAGACTGCTCCCCTTCACAACTGGTCTGCCAACTGATTTCTGTCCACAACGTTCCATCTCCTGCCATTTTGTCTTTGCATAGTCTGTGCCCTATGCCTGGAATGTTGTCTCTCCTCCCTGACGTCTCAGAATCTCTGGCTTCCTCAAGACTCAGCTGAAGGACTGGCGCCTCCTAGAGGCCTCGAATGACCCCCCCTCAGCCTTGGACATTTTCTTCCTCTTTTTGAAAAATTGTATTTATTTTATTTTTAATTTATGGAATAAAACAAAGCATTTCCATGACACAGTGTAATAAAAAAAGATGACTGCACACAAAACTGCAAATCTGTCTTGTACAACTCACTATTCCTTTTAAATATGTAATATTGTCTGTCCTGAAATTCCTTTGTATAGTCTTCATATTTTCAAACCTGTGTCCATATTCTAATCCCCCTGTTAGAACGGGAGCTGCGTTGGAACGTAGCCTTTGTCATTTGTGTTCTGCCTTCCTCCCTCCCTCCCTCCCTTCCTTCCTTCCTTCTTTCCTTCCTTTCTTCCTTCCTTCTTTCCTCCCTCCCTCCATTCCTTCTTTCCTTCTTTCCTCCCTCCCTCCCTCTCTTCCTCCCTTCCTTCCTTCCTGCCTTCCTGCTTTCCTTTCCCTCTGTCCACATAGGGAATCATACTCTTACCTGTGAGTGCTGTGCCCAAACGAAAGTAAATTTTGCTCACTGAAACCTCAAAAGGTATCTTGAGGTTTATGGGCTGGATTTTTTTTTCTTAAGGACCACCCCTTAAACCCAAATCACTCAGGCTCTCAATGATTGGCTGACAACAGGTCCCAGGTCAAGCCTCACTTGGTCTTTGTTTGGGCCCTGATTGGCACAGAGTGAGTGTAAATAGCAATTGTTTCTATTTATGTACATATATTTTACTAAGTAAAGAGGCCTTTCTCGGCTTCCTTTCTTACCTAGCCTTAATCACTGAATGGGTGTTGCCCCAGTCAAACTGAGACCTGTTAAAGACCTTAGGTTTAAACGCCAAGGTCCCCCTACCGAAACCTGGGCTATCTCAAGTTGTCCTGATCTATATCTCACCACTGAACCCCGATGGCTCCAGAGGAGAGAGTGTGGCTGCTGACTTGGCACAGCCCTCCCTCACTTAAACTCAATTCACTTGCATGTCATGGCATCACCTCCCTGATGTCCGGGTCCTCTTTGAGAATGAAGGACAAATAACACCAAGAAAACCCTAGGACCTACCCCAGTTCTAGCTAGAAACGTAGCAGGAAGTGTCTGCTGAATCGAACCTTCAGTTTTCCAGAGAATTGGGTTCAAAGGAACCCTTGCTCCCCATTTACTGAGACTTGAGATACAGAATACTCCAGACTTCCCTGGTATTGACTTAAATGAGGCACAGTCAACCTTACCAAATAACCCAAGACCCTTTACCATGGAAATAAAATGCCCAGATAGAGAGGTTACCAAGGCCAGGCCGGAGAGCCCAGGCAGTACACAAAGGCACTCTCCCCGCCTCCCTCCCTTCCTCCTTCTCTCTCTCCTTCTCACACCTGCCTGCCTAGGAGTGTGGCAGGTGGGCTCAGGTCTGACTGAGGTCAGTTAACAGTGTAGACCAGGGTGTGCAATGAGGATCAGCAGCCAGCAGGGGCTTCTTTCTGAAATAGATCAATGATACAGACACAGATGAAATTGACAAACAAATACAACATGCTGAGAATTCTCCCCTTGTCCTGCTTCTAGGTGGGCCACTGTATTGGGCTATCATGAAGGGTGCGAGATGGGGGAAAGGTTGCTGGGAAGCCTTCTCAACCTCTCTCCCGTCTCAGGGAAGAGTCCCTTACCTCGATATATTTATGCTAATTTATCACCTTGCCGTAAAATCCACCATTAAATCCTGCCTTGGATTAGTGACCTTATTTCCTGTTCAAATACATCCCCCTGTTCTCCTCCAACACATTAAGCTACTATCATCCCTTCACACTTTGGTATAAATGGGTTTGCCAGACCCTATCCAGGTTGGGTGAGGGGAAATTACCCTCACAAGTACAAAACAGAGAAGGTATCATTAGACAGTAGTTCCTATGAAAAAATCTGGGAATGTTAATGCATTATTTCCCATTCTCTTCACTTGCACAGCCACCCGGCAAGTCCAGGCCCTCATCACTTTTCGCCTGGACTCTTGTAATAGCCTTCTAACTGGTGTTCAGTTACTCCCCACTTCAATCTTTCACTTAAGCAGCTGCCAGAATGGTTTTCCCAAAGTGTGGGTCACCCACATCACTCCCTTACTCAATAATCTCCTTTGGTACCCAATGTAAGCTCACTAACCCCCTTTACAACATGACCTCATCCTCTCTTTCCATTCTCCCCTTGATTCCCTCCACACACTCTGTGGTCCAGTCTTGTTGGCCTATTCGCTGTTCCTTGTACATGATGCTTCATCTCCCGTCTCCAAGTCTTTGCAAGGGCTGTCCTCGTGCCTGGAATGCTCTTCCTCTTCATTTTCAGCTAACAGTTTCCCTGGCTTCCTTCAAGATCCATCTCAGATCCAGGTCTTTCCCCTTCCCCACCCCCCAACTCCGAGGTTAACCTCCATCTATTCTGTATATATCTTGCAGGTGCCCCTTTATAAGCTTGTTGTCTCGCCCATTAAAATGTAAGCTCCTTGAAGCAGGGCTTGTATTTGCCTCTTCATTGTTAACTCAGTATTTAGCTCATGCCTGGCACATAGTAAATGCTAATCAAGGCTGATTGATTGATTGGGACTGTATGCTGGGTATGAATTGGCCGCATGAGGGTTGAATTTTAAGGCAGAAGTCCTGAGTTCAAATCCTGGCTTGACTATTTAGGTTTTGGGCAAACCACTTAACTTCTCGTTAGGTTTCAGTTTAAATTTTAAATGCAAAAATAAGATAGTTGGACTAGAAGACCTCTCAAGTCCCTTCCAACTTGAAATCTATGATTCTACTCTCATAAAATAGTAAACATCTGATGTGATCCTAGGTTGTGTGTGAAGAGTCAGGACAAGGGAGGTGAGGGTCCCATCGGACCCATTTGGCCCTGGCTGGGCTCCAGTTTAAGAATGGCATTGATAAACCAGAGGGTGTCCAAGAGATGGAGGGAGGGGTGTGTGAAGAGACTAGAAAACATGCCCTGGGAGGGGAGCAGATGAAGAATCTGGGGAAGTTCAGTTTGGAAAAGGATGAGAAAAGGTCAGGGGTGAGGGGGAAAATGATAGAAGAGTTGTCACATGTAAGACAATTGGAGGGTAGAGCTAGGAGCAACAGGGAGAATTGCAAGCAGGAGAGGGGTGGGGGAACAAAGGTTGGTGTCATGTAAGGAAAAACTTCCTAATGGTGAGGGCTGTCCCAGAGTCCAACGGGCTAATTCCAATACCATAAAAACTATTTGACAAATTAAGCAAAGAAGGAGTTCTACAAAGGACCAGGATGAATTTACAAGTAAATTCTACCAAACAATTAAAGAACAATTAATTCCTTTTATGACATAAATATGGTTTTAATACCTAAAGCAGGGAAAGCAAAAACTGAGAAAGAAAACTATAGAACAATTTCCTTAATGAATATCTTTTTATTTTTTTTCTTTTCTTTTTTGGCTAGGCAATGGGGTTAAGTGACTTGTCCAAGGTCACACAGCTAGTAAGTGTTATATGTCTGAGGTCAGATTTGAACTCAGGTCCTCCTGACTCCAGGACCAGTGCTCTATCCACTGTGCCACCTAGCTGCCCCTCCTTAATGAATATCAATGCAATAAGTTTAAACAAAATACTAGCAAGAAGATGCCAGCAAAACATCACAAGGATCATACACATTGACCAGGTGGGATTTATATCCGGAACGCACGGCTGGTTCACTATTAGGAAAACTGTCAGCATAATAGACCAGATCAATCACAAAGCCAACAGAAATCATATGATTATATCAATAGATGCAGAAAAATCCTTTGACAAAAATACAGCACCCGTTCCTATTAAAAGCACTTGAGAGCATAGGAATAAATGGAGGTTACATTAATGATGAGTTGTATTTATCTAAAACCATCAGCAGCATTATCTGTAATGAGGATAAGCCAGAAGCCTTCCCGATAAGATCAGGGTTAGCAAGGATGTCCATTATCCCCATTACTATTCAATATTGTCCTAGAAATTCTAGATATAGCAGTGGGACAAGAAAAGGAAATTGAAGGAATAAGCATAGGAAACTAGGTAATAAAACTCTAATTCTTTGCAGATGATGTGATGAACCCTAAAGAATCAACTTAAAAAAAATCAACTAAAAATGGTTGAAACAATAAACAACTTTAGCAAAGTTGCAAGGTATAAAATAAACCCACAGAAATCATCAGCATTTCTATATGCTACCGCCAAAACCCAGCAGGAGAAGATAGAGGAATTCCATTTAAAATAACCATAGACAGTATAAAATACTTGGAACTCTACCTGCCAAGACACACACAGGAATTAGATGTACACAATTACAGATACTCTTTACACAAACAGAGGCAAATCATGGGTAAACTAAGCCAATAAAATAAAAATGACACTTCTACCTAAGTTAATTTACTTATTTAGAACCCTACCAATGAAACTACCACAGAATTATTTCATAGAGGTAGAAAAAAAGAAACAAAATTCAGCTGGAGAAACAAAAAGGTCAAGAATATTAATGGAATCAATTAAAAAAAGCGAAGGAAGATTACCTAGCAGTACTCCATCTCATACTCTCTTAGAAAATGGTAGAGAAGGAAATGGCAAACCACCCTCATGGTAATGGTAATCATTAAAACAATCTGATACTGGATGAAAAACAGAGTGATCAGCCAATGGAATGATAAGGTACACAATGCATAGAATTAAATGACCAAGTAACATAGTATTTAGTAAACACAAAGATCACAGTTATTAGGGCAAGAATTCAGTATCTGACAAAAACTGCTGGGAAAATTGGCAAGCATCCTGGTAGATAGTAGGCATAAACCAACATCGCACACATACCAAAATAAGATTAAAACGGGTATGTGATACATAAATGGCAATATCATAAACAAACTAGGGAAACATGAAGAAAATTACCTTTCAAATCTATGGACAAAGTAAAAGTTCATGACCAAAGAAGACATAGAGTGGATCATGGAAATGGAAATGAGTAATTTTGGTTACATGAAAGTAAAAACTTTTTACACAAACAAACCCAATAAAGCCAAAATTAAAAGGAAAGAAACTGGGGTAAAAACTTTACAGCAAATTTCTCTGAGAAAGATCTCATTTCTCAGATATATAGAGAACTGAGCCAAATTTATAACATTGAGAGCCATTCCCCAAATTATAAATGGTCAAAGGATGGGAACAGGCAGTTTTCAGAAGAAGAAATCAAAGCTACCAATAGTCACATGAAAAAATGTTCTAAATCACTAATAATTAGAGAAATGCAAATTCAAACTACTCTGAGGTGTTACCTCATACCTATCAGATTGGCAAATATGACAGAAAAGGAAAATGACAAATGCTGAAGGGGATATGGGAAAACAGGGACACTAAAACACTGTTGCTGGAGTTGTAAACTGGTCCAACCATTTTGGGAAACAATTTGAAACTGTGCTCCAAGGGCTGTAAAACTGCATACTCTTTGACCCAGCAATACCACTAGTAGGTCTGTATCCCAAAGAGATAAAAGAAAAGGGACCTATGTGTACAAAAATATTTACAGCAGTTCATTTTGTGGTGACAAAGAATTGGAAATTGAGCAGATGCCTCAATTGGGGAATGTCTGAACAAGTTGTGGCATATGATTGTGATGGAATACTATTGTGCTATAAGAAATGACAAAGCAGGATGGTTTCAGAAAAACCTGGGAAGACTTATATGAACTGATGCAAAGTGAAGTGAGAAGAACCAGGAGAATGTTGTATACAGTAACAGCAACATTGTAAGAATGCTCACCTGTGAATGACTTGGCTAGTCTGCTCAATACAAATAATCCACCTTGATTCCAAAGGACTCATTGTGAAAACTGTTAGACCCTCTAGAGAGAGAGCTGATGAACGCTGAGTGCAGATTGAAGCTTTTTTCCCCACTTTATTTTCCTTGCTTTCTTCCCTCCCCCCCAACAACATAGCTATCATGGAAATGTTTTGTGTGTGTATCATAAGTATTGTATTTCTTCCCTTCTCAAAGAATGGGGGAGGGGCTAGAGGAAGAGAGAATTTGGAACTGAAAATAAAAAAAATTTTTCAATAAACCAAAAAAAAAAAAAAAAAAAAGGAGCAATGTGCTGAGAGCCCCTGCAGGGCTACAAGCAGAGTGTCTGGTTAGGGATTCCAACTCAGGAAGACTCGACTTGCAGGGATGGGACTCTTTGGTCCCTTCCAGTAGATTCTGTGATTCCAGAAGCTAGCTGTGTTTGGGGAAGACAGGGTAGAGAGAGGAGGTCCTGAGCCTTGGGTAGGGAGGAGTCAGAGACAACCCCAGTGCAGCACAGGACCAGTAGGACCCACTGACCAATTTTGCCTCTAACAGTTTCAGTTGAATCACTTGATTGCTACAGGGGCATCCGCCGGCGTCTGGGGTTCTCAGATGAAACAGTGCAGCAGCTCTGAGATAAGACGCATCCTGTCAGCAGCATTTTGTGGTGACAAGCTTGCCCCTTCTCCCTTGGCTGACAAGAGTCCAGTTCAGCTAGTCCCTAAGCTCAGGAGGACAAGAAGGAGATCTGTAGTCGGAGACCATGGGACAGGACTTTGGGTCTGGAGTCAGAGGCCTTCCATTTGAATCCTGGCTCTGGTCCACACTCCTAGTGTGGCCATGCATGGCACAAGTCCAAGGGCGCTTCACGGTCTGGGTCTTGGTTCCTCAACTCCGAGGGTTGGGCTAGACGACTTTGAAGGCCCCTACCAGTTCTAAATCTTCAGCCTTCCTTTCAAATCAAAACACTTGGTGACCTCCTCAAGGAAGGTATGGTGCTTGGTATCAATCTGAAGACTCCTGCTACACATAGCTATCAAAAGAGCCTGGAGGAGGATGCCAGCTGGGGTCCTTCTAAACTTTTCCACTGCTATGAAATGAAACACATTTCCCTGGGACCCCAGGAGAAGGTGCCTCCGGAGGGGCCATTGGGAAGCTTTGCCATTCACCCGGACAAGGCACTTGGTCGCATTCTCCACATGCCGGAGGAACAAGGGTGCCCAGACACCTTTGGCATTCAGGTGGGAGGGAGGGCTATGGTGAAAAATGCCATTAGCCAAAGGGAGCAGGGAGTGGCTGATGGCATCTGGAGAGGTTGGGAGGCGACCTGCTGGGCGGCAGTGCGGAGGCAAGGGACAGATCCTTACTTTCTCTCCCTGGTGAGCACGGGGCAGGCTCCCCTCAAGGTAGAGAAATCTATTCAGAGACTTTCAAAGACTGATCTCCAGGTAGAGGTGGGGAAACTGAAGCCCAGCAGGAGGCAGGGGCTTGCCCAAGGTCCCAGAGCAAGTTAGGAGCAGACTCCTCCAAGCCCCAAACCCTTCAGCCCGACTGGAATGGCCCAGGGAGCAAGGCGGTGTGGTCTAATGGATAGAGCTCTGGATTTGGACTCAGGAGAACCCTGCGTTTGAATCCCACCTTTGACATTTACTAGTTGTGCGCCCCCGGCAAGCTGCTTCAACTTTGTCTGCCTCAGTTTCCTCATTAGTACAACTGGGATAGTAATACCTCCGAGGGTCATTGGGTAGTCTCTGACAAGCTTGTGTGTCAAACACTTCGCCCCTCTCACACCACTCTAGAAGTGACTATTTCTAGGATTTTTTTTAATCTTTGTATGCCCAGCACCTGACATCGGGCCTGGTATCAAGTAGGGGCTTAAAGAATGTTCATGGGATTCTAGCCTCTCAGCACCTAGCCCATTCCATCTACCCCAGAGAACAGACATAGAACAAAAGTCCTCCTGACAATAAGACCTTTCACTAAAATGCTCCAGCTCGCTCAGCCCCTTGGGCCCAGTGCCAGAGGCACATCTCTCCTCCCACGTATTTACCTCTAGATTGTAAACTTCTTGAGGGCAGCGATGGGGTCTTATTCTTCAACTGGTTGTGCTCAGGTCTGGCTTCATACCAAGAGTTCCTGGAACTGGAAGGGACCTTAGAGGTCATCTCATCCAATCCTCACCCCACCCCTCTGTTTGTACAGAAGGAGAAACTGGGGCTCAGATGGGCCAAAGGGATTTGTCCGAGACACAAAGCTGGGATTTGAACCCAGGACCTCAGACTCCAAAGCGTGTCCCTTGCTGCAATCTGAAGAAAGCTCCTAGAGCAAATTGCCTAGTTACATAAAACAGAGTCCACCCACAATTTTCCTTGCTTTTTATGGCTGAGTCCATCCTGCCCTCTGGCTCCTTCCCTCCTCCTCAGGGCTCTCATCTTTTGGGGGGAGGCAGGGGTGTCAGGGGTGGCTGGGAGGGCGTGGAGCGTGGGATACAAGTTCCTTTTCTCACTTCCCTTCCCTGACATCACTCCCCCATTAGGTTGGGGATGAACCACGTGAGAAAAGTCAGGCGCCGGGGATGGGGATGTGAGAGTGTTTGCCTCCCGGCTCAGCCAGGACTGAGTTGGGCCACCCTCCACCCACACACACCCCTTGTGCAGAAAGTAGAGCCCCACCCGGCTCCTCTGGGGCGGACTGAAGTCCACTTCCTGCCTGCTCCTTGTCAGGGCACCCAGCTGCAGGACGAGGGGTAGGCCGGGGGCAGTCCCGAGGACACCATACCTGAAGGTGTGGCCTAGTTGACTCCAGTTTGTGTCCCCTCTACCTGTCGCTCTGGAGGCCAGCTCTCACACAAACCTTCATGATCTGCTTTGGAAATTCTGCTAGTAGTCAGCCCAGCCCTTGGGAGGCGGGGACATGGCTCTCCCCACTCCCCCCCCCAGGCCAGTGAGGAAGACTCTGGGCTGGGCCCACTGTGACCATCCCAGCTGGGAGACCCTAGACGTGGGCGTGGCTAAGATTTCTGCCTGTGCCCTTGTCTTTAGATCCAGCTGGTTCCTGAGGCGGCCCCTTCTTGACCGGCGAGCACATGGCTAAAGGAGGAACACTGTGTGTCTGGGTCATCTTCTAGCACCGGCCTGTTCTGGGGGTAGTGGTCTGTGCTTGGCTGGGGTCCAGTTCCAGGCAGCAGCTTCAGTCTGTCTTGTCTCCCCCAGGCCTGGTAGCCTGGGTGTCAGAGCCTGGGCCTTGTGCCAGGCTGTTACCCTGGTCACAGTAATTATGCCCAGGTCAGGGCCAGACTGGGCTCTCTTACATCACGGGCAAGTCCTTGGGGAGCTCCCAGCCAGATCCCCTGTGGGCCCTCCTATAGAGAGCTGGCATATCTCCCCCCCCAACCCATTTCCAGGGGACTCTGTGGTTCATACGGCAGATGGCCCCCCTGCAAACCTGATTTCCTCTAGGGCCACAGGCAGAGCGACTGGGGAGCCAGTTGTCTTGGGAAGGTTCACAGGTTCTCCTTTCCCTGTCTGGCTCTGACCACCTCTGATAAGGGGAAATAATGGAGGCATCCCTGAAGCCCCCAGGGTGGATTTCCTGAACATACATAATCAGCTCCAGGCTGACCACACAGCCTGAGGCTCGCTCCAGCATCCAAGGCCCTCCACAATCCAGCTCCAAATGAACCAGTTAAGCCCGCTAAACTGGAGGTGGCCCCCATTCCAATCCCAGGCCTAAACCTCAGGGTTCCCTGGGCTCCTGTGGCATCCCAATCAGGCCTCATCCCAGAGGAGGGCTTTCAGTTCACCTCACCTTGCTGCCCACCCGGGGAGGCAAAGCAGTCGGGTCTCTCCTCTACGGAGCACACAGAACAGGACTTCATAGCCTCAGGAAGGATTGACGAGAGATCTGTTCTCAGAGGCTGAGGTGAAGAGGGGCCGCTCTCCCCAAGGTGGGGCGCTGCCCGAGCAAACACAGAGACAGGGATGGCCATCTGTCTGGTTTTGTCGGGACAAAGTTGGGGGAGTACTGGAAAGCAAGCCAGTCCAACCATCATCTATCAAGCTTCACTCACTTGGAGAAATGGGTCTTGCATGGGCTGGGGAGGGCCTTCAACGCCGAGCCTAGAGTCAGTGTTTTCCACTAGAGGCAGTAGGGAGCCCTGGCTGGAGGGGAGGCACGGATGTCCAGGGCTTCCTTCAAGTCCCAGCTAAAATTCCACCTCCCAGAGGGACCTTCCTCTTGTGGTTGGCTCACAGTAGGTGCTTAATCATTTTGACTGATTGGAGCTGGAGGCCGGATCAGTCGGGAGGCTATAATGATAGTGTAGGCTAGAAGAGATAGGGGCTGCACCTTCCCTCTCCTTCCAGCCCATCCCTGCCCCCCCAGGCTGCCACGTCCTCCTAGAAGCCTGCCTTGACTGCTGTCCAGAGATCACAGCCACTCACAAGGTGGGGGAGGGGCTTAGCATCCCAGCTCTTCCCATTTTACTCATCTGTTTTGCCTGAGGCCCCGTCCTATCACCGCCCCCACGTACAAACACTGGGCTCCCTGAAGGCCAGGCCTGGCTCAAGCTCATCCTTGTCTCCCCAAGGCACTTGGCACCTGCCCAGCCTCCAGATTAAATCTGGGGAACCCTGGAGTGACCGCGAATTCCCAGCCCCCGCCTTTCCCAGGTCAGCCCCTCCTGCCTAGGGCCCAATGCTCCAGTGAGTGACCAGGGTTCAGGACCTGAGCTCCGTGACAGCATCAGGGCATTTAAAGCTGGAAGGTCCATTCTCCCATTTCACAGAGGGGAAACTGAGGCCAAAGAAGCGAAAGGAATTTGCCTAGGGTCCCCTGACCCCCAAATGCAGAGTGCTTTCCACTATAATTAACTATATGTATAGGCCTCAGTTTCCTTGTCTGTAAAAGGAAGGCTTTAATAACAACTGACATTTACAAAGCACAGCAATAACCCTTCAGGATCATGAATACTATAGCCACGATTAGCTCCATTTTGCAGATGGGGGAACTGAGGCTCAGATCCTTAAAAGGCCACACAGCTGGTAAGCCTCAGAAGCAGGATTTGAACCCTGATCTTCTGTCCTGCTATCCCTGCTGCCTCTAAAAAGTCATGCCATGGGCCAGTTAGGTGGTGCAGTAGATAGAGCACCAGCCTTGGATTCAGGAGGACCTGAGTTCAAATCCAGCCTCAGACACATAATACTTACTAGCTGTGTGATTCTGGGCAAGTCACTTAACCCCATTGCCTAACCAAAAATAAAATAATAATAATAATAATGAAAAGTCATGCCTTTAGATGTCCCTGGTCCTTCTGTTGGGGTCCCAAAGGAGGGGCTGGGGATATAGGAGGGCCTCCTGCCCACCACCATGAGGCCATCTCTGGAGATGCCCCTGGAGAGATGGAGCCCACTGCGGCTGCTGCCTTGGGCTGGGCCTGGGCTCCACTTTTCACCTCTGGCTCAGGGAAGGTTTTGCTAAGCCAGAGCTTGGCTCCTGGATAGCGGGTCCAGGCTGGAAAGAGCCCTAAGCCCCTTGGCATGGCAGGTCAGCAGAGGCTCCAGAGTGTCCTCTGAAAATTCTCATATCCTCAGTGTCCTTGCACACCGTGGGTGCTAAATAAATGCTCGCTAAAGCTGGTGGAAGCCTCGGAGCTCCAGGTTTGCCCCCTCGAGCTCCAGATCATGTCCTGCCTGTCTGGGGCTATGGGACGGGGATTTAGTCCTGGCTTGGGAGCCAGTGGACCTCGGTTCAAAACCAGCCCTTCTCCTAGACTGTCTCCTTTTCTTGGCTTCCAAGGCATTGTTCTCTCGGCTCCCTCCTACCAGCCTGACCTGACCACTCCTTAGGCTGTGGTGCTGGCTCTTCAGACTGTCTTTGACCTTCTAAGTACAGGCGTCCCACAGCTCTGTCCTGGGTCTCTCTCCTTTCCTCCCGTGCCTTCTCTCAGTGATCACATCAGCTCCCAGGAGTCTCATTATCCTCTCTATGCAAATGACTTCTGATTTCTCTCTGGAGCCATAAAATCCACATCATCTTCTACCCATCAGCCATCTCTGACTGGACATCCCTGGGCATCTCCAACTCAACATGGCCAAAGTGGAATCGACTCCCCTACCCCAGTCCTTCCCTCTTCTAAACTTCTCTCCGCCCAGGCCCCAGACTGGCGGTCAGCCTCGTCTCCTCACTAACCCCTTATCCAGTCAGTCGCCAATTCTCCTTCTCTCATACCAGTGCTCCTCTGTCTGTTCGCATGCCCCAGTGCCCCTCACCTGGACCATTGCAATGGCTCTCTCACGAATCTCCCAGCCTGCAGACTCTCCCCTCCCCAATCCAGCCTCCGGGCAGCTGCCCAAGGGATCTTGCCACATCCCTGGCGGACAATAACATTTCTTTACTCAGAAATTTTAGGTGAATTCTGGTTGCCCCAGATGAAACACGCAAACTTGGAGGTTGTTTAAAGCCCTCCGGGGGTGGTCCCCGCTTAACTTTCTTGGTTCATTTAATGACTCCCCCTGACCCACTCCCTGATCATCAGACACGCTTGCTGACTGTTCCCCACAACCCACTTCTGCCTTTGACTATGTGGTTCCCCTGCCAGAAATAGATTCCTTAGATTCCTTCCTCATCTTTGGCTCTCCGAATCGGGATCCAAAACCTAGCTCATGTGCCAGGCCCTGGAGGGGACAATTCCTCATCCCCTAATTGTTAACACTTTCTCCTCTTTGAAGGTACTTTTTGAATTAGTTATCTATATACGTGCCCTTTCCTCCAGTGGATGGTAAGGTCCTTGAGGGCAGGGGTGACTTCATTTTTTGACTTTGTGTCCTCAGCACCTAGTATGGTGCCCAGCACATAGTAGGCCTTTGAGCAATTTGTTCAGTAGAATTGAGCTGTATCATTTCTTAGCTGTGTGATTTTGGGGAAGTCTCTTACCGTTTCAGTGCCTCAGTTTCTTCTTATGTCAGATGGGGCTAATGTCCCTTGCACCACCTGCCTTCCAGGGTTATGAGGAAAGCTTTAGCAAACCTTCAAGCGGGAAAAGAGGGAGCTGTTATTTGGTGGTGGAAGGTCAGGTTCCGGTGCTCGATCCTTGTCAGACATGTTCATCTGCAGAGTGTGGCGCTTCTGGATGGCATCCTGGGGCTGCAGGGATCAGAAAGGGAGAGGTGAGCTCTGGTGCCCTCCCAGGAGACAGCACCCCACCCCTCAGCGTCCCTCCCCCACAACTTGTTGGAAGCCAAAACAAAGAAAGAAGATTTCCCTGAGCAGTTGCTGAGGATAGACAGGAGAGAGATAGGGTTACAAATGGGTGGGGCAGAGAAGCGCATCTTTCCTTCTCTCCGCCCTCCAGCTGGAACCCACTGCAACCTGCCTTGCCCCTATGCCACCCGCTGCCCCCATGCCACCCACCCTGGCCTGGGGTTTCTTGGATGACCCTCACCCCCGGGTTTGCAGGCTCTTTCTACTTACGTAGCCAGTTCCTCCTGGGCATCATCTTCTGGAAATGTACCCATCCCTGCACCCGGGAAAGGTCCCAGGAGAAAGGTGGAGGTGCTCACCCACCTTGGGTGCAATGGGGAGAGCAGGCAGTTCTCTTCATCTTCTCTGACAGACCCACAACTCTGAAGCTGCCAGCCTGTCACGTGAGCCCAGCATGTGACAGAACTCCATCCTTGCCACCTGGAGAGGAGCCAGATGGAGACAGAAGGAGGGGTTGGGCCAGGGAGAAAGGTACCTGACAGCTCCCTGGCGTGGTGGCTCCTTCCTCCTCCCCAGAAGGTTCAGTTTTCCTGCTGTTGCAAGGGCTGCTAGGCCACGTGATGGAGCCCACGGGCCAGAGGATGCCTGGGGCCCAGCCACACCTGACCAGGGGACAGAACTTGTTGATGGCATTTCTGAGAGCCTTCTCTTTCTGGGCAACCCTCTTCCCAGTGTGGTGGTTATAGGGATGGGCGTGGAAGGAAGAGGTCTGGGTTCAAGTTTGGCCTGAGATAGGATCCTAGGACTACAGATGTAAAGTATCTTGGAGGCCATCTAATCTGACTCCCTTATTTTACAAGTAAAGAAGCAGAGTCTCTTAGACTTCAGTCAAGTGACTGGCCTAAGGTCGCACAGGTCATCAAAGGCAGAGCCAAGCTCCTCCCCAGGAGTCCTGACTCCAAACAAAGCCTCCTACACACACTGGCCACATGGCCAGTGGCATACACGTGGACCTTTCTGAGCCTCGGCCGGGATTGTTGATTGGAACCATTCTCTGACCCTCATTCTCATGGAAAGGGCCTCGACAGCTGCCGACATAGCCAAACATGGGAGGGGGAGACCCGTGGCATCCTGCCAGATTCTGAGTGTGGCTCAGAATCTCTCCTGGATCTCTAGAAACTCATCTTCCTGCAGGTCACATCAACTCTGAAACTGCCACATGTTTGGTGCTCCCTGCCCCACCCCCGCCCACCCCTCCTTCTGACTGGAGAGGGCAGAGCGCCTCCTAGCTCCTCCACCATTTAAGGAGGGCTGGAGAGAGCTCACTTCATCACCTGCCCTTGACCCTGCCTCCAGGTACCCTTTCCTTTTCATCTTCCCTCATTAGATTGAAAGCTCTTTGAGGGCAGGAACCAGCTTTTGCTTTTTTTTTTTTTTTTTTTGTATCCCCTGAGATTAGCAAGGACCTGGCACACAGAAGGCACTTAATACATGTTTATTGACTGATTCCTGGCTCAGCTACCTATTAGCTATGTGACTAGGACCATGAATCACTTAGCCTCTGTGGTCCTCAGTTTCTTTATCTGTAAAATGAATCAGCTGGACTATATATTTTTCTAAGGTTGCTTGATAAGCCCTTGCTTATCATGCATTTGCGAGTTACCCAAGGTCACACAGCAGGAGTGATACCAGCAGAGCCAGAGGGGCAGCCCTGCTGTCCTTCCAGCCCAGGGCAGACACCACAGTGCCTCTGGCAGGTGGGGTCCCCACTCCTGGGCAGAACTGCTCTGCTCCCTTTGGGGCTTCTAGGGGCTTGGACCTAGGGCCATCCTAAACCTGCCACATGAGGCCAGGAGGTGACTTGGTTGCATCCCAACCGTTCTTCCAGGGCCTGGATGGTCTCCCAGAGTGTGCAGTAAGGTAAAAGCACTCTGCTCAAGGATTCTGTTCTCCCCCGCCACACACACACACCTTGTCTGTCTGGCTGGAAAGCTTGGCTCTTCACCAAAGACATTTGAGTATGGGAGCCCCTCCCTTAATGCCAGGAGAACTGCCCAAAGGCTGGGGGAGGGGGGCCTGACCAGTGCTTCTCCTGGCAGAACCTTCCTTTCCCCACCCAGCTCAGACCCAACCTCGCCACAGTCCTTTCAAATGGTAAAGCCCTTTACAAACAAACGTTCCTTGAGGGGGGACAGCTCGGAGAAGGTCAGGTGTTTTGATGACCATTGTGTAGATGAGGAAACTGAAATCACAGCTCTCCTCCCTTTCTGTGAGGAGCCTCTCCCAGTCCTTCCTAATCTCTCTCCGCCTTGGATCCTCTCCAATTCAAGCTGTCTGTATTTGTTTGTCCAGCGTTCCCATGTTGTCTCCCGCATTAGACTGACCTTGAAGACAGGCATTGGGTTTTGCCTTTTTTTGTATCTTTAGTACTTACCACAGTGCCTGGCCTGTAGTGAGTGCTTGCTTAATTAATGTTTATTGACTGATTGAGGCTCAGAGGGAACAGCTGATCTTCCTGTGGTCACACAGCTAGTCAGTGTCAGAGGAAGACGCAGATAGTTCTTCCCAGCACCAAGGCCCGCACTAAGCAAAGCAGCTGGTCCACCAGGACCGAGCGGATAGACATCTCCGGTTGGCCGTCCCAGAGACATCTCAGTCTACGTGGCCGAAACAGACCCTCGTGTCTTTTCCCCCAAGTCTTCCTCTCTTCTAAACTCCCCTATTTCTGTGGAGGGCACTGCCACCCTTCTGGCAACTCAGACTCCCAACCTTGGCTTCATCTTTTACTCATCACTTTCACTCACCCCACACATCTGGTCAGTTGCCAAATTTGTCACCTCTACCTTCCGGCCTCTCTCATATCGAATCCCTTTGCTTCACTCAGATAGCCACCGCCCTCATTCAGGTCTTTGTCCCCACACCTGGACTATGGAAATCACTTTCTTAGTCAGCGAGCAAACATTTATCAGGAGCTTACTATTGGGGGCCATTGCTGCTGCCCAGAAGCCAGCAAATCCCTGTCTGTTTACTGTCACCACTACTCCCTCACTCTGGCCCCAGAAGACTCAGTCATGGATAAAAATGAGCTGGTGCACAGACCAAAGGGGCTGAACCAGCTGAGACTTAGGTTGATATGGCAGCCTGCAAGAGATCTGTAACTGAGGGCAGGGCTGAATTAGCCAGCAGAGGGAGGAAGCTTCTCTCTGGTGCTGTAAACAATGTCATTGGGGCCCTGGGGTCAGTTTAGAAGGTCATTTCAAGGACCGAGCAAAAACAGAAGGTGCTGAGCAAATGAACTGAGGCTGCAGAGAGAAAATCGAAACCAACCAGAGAGATATCTGCCACGACATGTCCTGCTCTCTCTGGGCGAAGCTTTTGATCCCTAAGGCTTCTCAAGCAGAAAGCAAAGCTTTCGATTTGAAAATGAAAGGAGACCACTTCTGTTATTTGGCTGAGATTGCTGCTGGTGATAACTATTCAATGGATGAATCCCAACAAGACATCAAGAAGTATCTAAAATCAGTCAAAAGGAGATGCAACCCAGGCTTCTTGTAAGATTGGGTCTGAACCTGAATGGCAGTGTTCTGCCAGGAGATCCTGAACTCTCCAGAGAAAGCCTGCTCCCCGTTCAAAGGCAGAGATGAAACCGTCGTGGAACTGGACACGTTAAGTGATGAGTCCTAGAAAGCCAGTACGCTAATGATGTACTGACTGAAAGACAATCTGACTGTGTGGGCATTGGACATCCAAAGAGGTGTGGTAGAAGGAGGGGAGCCATTAGCTGGCTTTCCAACCTTAGTCAGCCTCATTCTAAAACGGGTTGTGGTAGACCATTTCTCATGTATGCTTTCTCACAAAGAGTTTGTGTTTATGATTTAGGACAGGTCTCGGTGACTTTTATTTGGATTTCTAGATTTCCCACGTGGTTTTATATTTAATATTAGGGGAGAAAAGCTAGTTAACATTTGCAGTTTTCAGTTTTCATCTGAAGTGATCAGTATCGGGATATGGAATTTTTGTACACTTTTGACATGTTTGGCGTAACAGTTGTGCTACAGGGTGATTTCACAATGCCGGGGTTAAAAGAGCTTCCGTGGCTAAGCAAAAACAAAACAAAACTTGACTATATAAACATGACAAAAGCTTGTCATGGTTGGGGGGAGAGGGGGAGGAGACATTGATTCCAGCCACAGGTGCAGTTATTGTGGTTACTTTAGGGTAGGAGTACTCATGGCCAGTGTCCCTGAGGTGTGATGGTCCCTCCATGAGTGTCTGTGGCATACATAATCTCAACATGTGCACTTTATGAGATTGCAGCTGCAAAAGTGTTCCTTAAGATAAAGTTTTAGCCCAGGTAATTTACTCTGAAAAAGGGCAGAAATAGTTCACATTCCATTAGCTGTACTCTTTCATTATTTTTGCTATCCTTATTTTTTAGGCTGTTTAGGCTGATGTAAATTGGATAATTTTGAGTACATTAAGTTAAAAAGGTTTTGTAGAAATAAAACCTAAATGGCCAAGCTTTGAAGGAAAGCAGAAATTGGGGGGAAATTTTATAGACGGTTTCTTGGATATAGGTCTCATATCTCAAATATATGTGGAACTTTGCCAAATTTGTAAGAATATAAGTCATTCTCCAGATGATAAAGGGTCAAAGAATATGAACAGGCAATTTTTTGATGAAGAAATCAAAGTTATATGTAATCATATGAAAAATGCTCTAAATCATTATTGATTAGAGAAATACAAATTAAAGCAACTTTGAGAGATCATCTCACAACTATCAGATTGGCTAAAATGAGAGCAGGGGAAAATGACAAATTCAAGAGGAGATGTGGAAAAATTGGGACACATTCACTGTTGGTGGAATTGTGAACTGATCCAACCATTTTGGAGAACAACCTGGAATTATGCCCAAAGAGTTATAAAAGTGTGTATACCCTTTGACCCAGCAATACCGCCATTAGGTCTGTCTCCCGAGGTGATCAGGAAAAAAAGAAAAGAATCTACAATATTTCTAAAATATTGATAGCAGCTCTCCTTGTGGCGCTGGCAAAGAACTGGGAATATCAGGGATACTCATCAACTGGGGAATGACTGAACAAGTTGTGGCACATGATTGTGGTGGAATGCTACCGTGGGGTAAGAAATGATGAGTTGGTTGAATTTAAGAAAATCTGGAAAGGCTTGCATGAAATAATGAAGAGTGAAATGATCGAAACCAAGAGAATGTTGTATACTGTAACAGCAATATTGTTTGAAGAATATTAAACATATATACACATATGTATATGTATGTGTGTGTGTGTGTGTGTGTATTCATATATATCTTCTTCTCTCCCCTGACATGGCCTGAGCCCCCGTTGCCGGCCCATGCCACCCACAAGCATCCCCACGCATTTTTGGCAGCTCATTCTTCCTTTTCTATGCTCAGCCTTTGCTTGGTTACCACACTGTAGCCAGAAGGGGAGGGTCCAGTAGCTTTGGTGCAAGCATCCCTTTTCTCAAGGGTCTCTCTGGGGAGCTGGGAAAACCCCATTTTCAGGCAACCCACACAGTGCAACAGCTCCATTGTCTCCTTCCTGTAGACCTTTTTCAAGACCTTCCATCCCCTTGAGAACCCACACCATGGCAGAAAGTCGATCAGCAGAGGCCTCCAGGCAGCTAGGTGGCACAGTGGAGTCAGGGAGACATGAGTTCACTTACTAATTGTGTGACTTTGGGAAAGTCACTTAACTTCTGTATGCCTCAGTTTCCTCAACTGTAAAATGAGGATAATAATGGCACCTACTTCCCAGGGTTGTGAGGATCAAATAACCGTAAAGCTCTTAGCACAGTGCCTGGCACATAGTAGGTGCTAATAAATGTTAGCTATTATTTTCCTCATCTCACACAGTGGGTATTGAGTGGGATGCTGAAACAGTGAAGCCCCCTCAGGGAAGGATAGGACTTGGCCTTGCTGAGACAACACTTCTCCTAGAGTTCCCAGAAATTGCCTTGCTGAAAGAACCAGAATGTTACTCAAGATAAGGGAGTACATCAGGCCATGTCCCTGAAAGTGTCTTGCTTGTCCAGGCTTTCTGGCTCTCACCTCCTTTTATCTTACTTTCCTGCTGTACCAACGGAGTTGCCTGTTTTGTGCCTTTTTGCAACCTTGTTGCTGAGGTCTAGTTTCCGAGATTAGACTGTGAGCTTTGAAGCCCAGCCAATGGGAAAAGGAGCTAGTAAGTGAGTGGGGGTTCCGAATTAGGGTCTATATAAACTGGCTTTGAGCTGCACTCCCTTGCACACCCTGGCTAGTGCCATGTTAAGCGATGCTGGGTGTGTCCTTTCTGGAGAAAGCCAATAAACGAACTATTCTTTTTGCTAATATCTCTGAGTCTCCGATTCATTGGTAAGGGTCTCTGTACCCCACACAGTTTCCTTCGAAGCAGTCATACTAGTTGAAGCACCAGGCTTCTAATAACTACCTGAGAAGCCATGGTGACTCAGCACTTCAACATAATTACACAATGGCCTTTCAACACACACACATTTATGCAAGGCTGTTTGAGCTCACAATTACATAATGTTGACTCGAAACAATTATCCAACATTACCTCCACAGTTATACAGCCATTCCTTAAAGCCAGCTTTCCAGGTCTGTTAGTAGTATTTGTCCAGAAAACAACAAACTTTGAATGAACTGTAACCAAATGTGGTCAACCAAGGAGATCCTAATACAATTAGTCTCAACTTGACTGCCCCAAATGCATTAAAATCCAAGATAAGTCCCCTTGGATGTAACCCATTTTCCATTCAATTTGGATTTAATTTAATTTAATTCAATGTGGGGAAGATCAATCACTCAATTAGCATTAATTAAGCACCCACCGTGTGCCAGACAATGTCCTAAGCCCTGGGTAGTATTTCGGATTATGACATACCTAATAAGGAGGCATTTTTCCAAATTGGGGGGCAGGGGACACAATGTGTGCATTTGTTTTATCTGAATATGCTTGTGACAAAGATTTGTTTGTTTTCTTGATGGGGGGGGAGGAAGGATGTAGGGGAGAGAACGGAATAGTGAGAGTGGTGAAGAAAAAGAAAACAACCAAAAAGAAAAGAGAACCATTGTGGCATTAAATGAACAGAAGAGAGAGGAGCAGGAAAAGATGTATAGAATTTATTATAGAATTTTGAGAAACAAGGCAAACTATATGAACTGGAGATGCAGGGTTTCATATGCAATCCTCTTTTTCTGCTCTTTGTATGTGGAAATGATAGTGTTTGTTGATGTTTGCCAATTAAGAATAACAGAAAGATCATATCAAAAATATTATGGGGCCTCATCTACTCAGGAAGGATTAACTCTTCTCGGGGTTAAGGCTCAAGGTAATGGCCAAAATTTTTGGATTTTTTTTAGTGCATCTCTTGCATAAACATATCCACTTTTTTTTTTCAGTGAAAATCAAAGCCAACAAAAGAAAGATTAAATCAGCGAATTCTCTCTACCTAATCACGACTGAAGCAGACTAATTATTGGCTACAGGAGGCACCAGTGAGGTCAAATTTGAGTTGTTGAATGGGGGATCTCAACAGGGGCACAATATTGCCACCTTCACCATCAGTTGTAGATTATTTTATGAGAAGAAGACGGAGATGGCACATGACTCTTCGTTGTTGTTGTTGTTGTTTAAAAAATACGGTTGCAGCTACATGAAAAGTGGAAATGACGGTGAAAGCTGAGCCCCCACTCAGAGACCCAGGCACTTCCCAAGTTCAACTGAAGTCAGCTTGTGCCTTGTTAATACTCCAGGCAGGAAGTACTCATTAAGAAAGCAAAGTATCTAATTGGAACAGAAAGCAAAGCAAAAGAAAAACATATCGCAACACTTCTTCCCCGCAAACATAGCTGTTCCAGAACTACCATTTCGTGACAAAGGGGGAGGAATCTTTGTCTCTGTCTCAGGAACATGCTGCGCCCCCACGTGGATGGATGCTACCACTACAGCCTTAGATGTTGCTACTCCAAATCTACTGGCTGGCTTCTCTTCTTCCCAGGGTTGTTACTCAGTTTGTCTTCCTACAACACAGCTTGCCCGTGCTGCAGCACACAGTCTCAAGGGAAATGGAGTCCTGGAAACCTCTCCCATGGAATGATCGTTCTCTGGGGCCCAGTATTCTGAGAAACGCACTACATACCTTAGTTTCATTATTACACACTCATTATTATTCCTTCTCTGTGCCGCCCACGGGGAAAATTATTAAAATAACCACACCCTTTGACAAATTGGTTTCATTGTTAGGAATAGACTCTGCCTGATGGTATTATCAAAAGGAAAATGACCAAAAATCCCAACTTCTGACCCAGAGATTGTAATAGTAGCATTATATGTAATCACAAAAAAAAAACCCCAAAAACAAACCCAAACCAAAAGAAATCCCCCAGACTTGGAAGCCAAAACCAAAGGAACTTGGAAGCAACTCCAACAATGAGTGAGTGGTTGAACAGACTATGGCATGTTATTGTAAGGAAATACTATAATTCAATTAAGACCAGCTAATCTGAGGAACAGAAAGAAATCGGGAAATACCTTTATGAAATAAATCTTTACATCCCTCGGATGGAATACACACTAATTATATTCATATAAGAGAAAATAAAACGGAGGGAGGAAATAAGCATTTCTATAGCACCCACTGTGTATCATATTATGTCATTTGATTCTCAGAACAACCTCAAAAGGGAGGTGCTATTATTGTCCCCATTTTACAGCTGAGGAAATGAGGCAAACAGAGGTTGTGACTTGCCCAGGGTCACCCTGCTACTAAGTGTCTGAGACCAGATTTAAACTCTGGTCTTCTTGACTCCGAGCCCAGTGCTCTATCCCACTGCACCTCCTAAATGCAAATAAGAATGAATGAATGAAGAAAGGATTTTACTAAGACAGGGAGAGGGATGGAAAAATTACTATGCTACTTTGTGCACTGAAATTTATTTCAGTGTAACTAAGCATAGATCATTGGTTGCACTGATGCTCAAAAATGTTTTTAATAAAGTATTTCATTTGGGACGATAGTTTGAAACCTTTGTCTAATTTTTCAGTGCACCCTCGGGGCTCAGGCTCTCCAGCATTGCAGGGCGAGGCAGAGGCCTCAGCACCATCACATTCCCTCTCTGGGTCTCAGTTTCCCATCTGTTAAATGAAGGGTTGGACTGGATGCCCTATAGCCTCCTTTCCCGTTCTTTTCCTCCCTAGGGGCCCTGCCTGACAGACTGGAGGCGGGGACAGAGGATCTTGGGTCGAGAGCTACCCAGGCACCTGCCCACCCCCTTCGTCTGGTGTAAGGGGGAAACAGGTTTGAGAAAAATACGAAGTCACCTTCCTAGCTTTGTTGCTAATAATAACCAGCATTTTGCAGCACTTCCGGGTTTGCAAAGTACTTCACAACTATTATTTAACTCTTTTGATTCTCACAGCCGGGGGAAGCAGGGGCGCTGCGGGCGTGATGGTCACAGCCAGTAAGCACCAAAGGCGAGATTTGTACCTAGCTCTTTCTAGACAGCACTAGTACATTGAAGAGAGGAGTGGTGGGGGAGTGTGGGCACCACTCTACCTTCTCGGTCTCCAGCTTCTAGCCTGCGATAATGCTTGTTGAATGAATGGACTGGGTCAGAGGACCTGGGCTGGAATCCCACCGAGTGCCCGCGTGGTCTGGGGGCAAGCGACTCAACCTCTCCGGGCCTCAGTTTCCTCATCTGTCAAACAAGGGGCAGGCCTAGAATCTAGTCTTCTAGGGGCTGGCTGGTCGGGGCGGGGGCGGGAGGGAGGAGGGGTGAACACGGCAGTCAGGGTTCCTCCGGGCCCAAGCAGTCACCCCTTCTCTCCGGTCTGGGGATCCCGACCCCTAGGAACTCAGGTACCAGGGCAGAGACCAGGGCTACTTCTTGTTCCTGGTTCCCGGTTCCCGGCTCCCGGCCCCGCCCCTGGCCCTGCCCCCGCCCCTGCCCCCGCCTCCCGTCCGGGCCCGGCTGTCTAGGGGGGCTGGCAGAACTGGGTGATCTCGCAGCGCTCGGGGCCGGGCGGTCTTGGGGTCCCAGGGCAGCAGCTGGAGAACCGGGCGGGCGGTCGAGAGATCCACCCGCTGGGGAGACCAACGGACTGTCTGTTGGACAGCAGCCTCCCACAGCCCTCCCTTCTCCGGCCATGGAGGCCGAGCCCCCGCTGTACCCAGTGGCTGGAGCCGCCGGCCTCTTGGCCGAGGAACCCGGAGCTGCAGTCCCCGACGGTGTCCTTCCGGAAGGGCCCGAGGTACTGGAGCCCGCCTGAGCCCAGCCAGGCCCCGACCCGTGGGAGGGCTGGGGAAAGAACGCCACCCTAGGGGTCCCGGGTTCCAGGTCTGTCTCTCCTGCTGACCGAGAGGGTTACTTGGGGCAGTTGCTCCAACTGTAAATGGAGGGGTGGTCTTCAGTTTTCTTCCCGATCTAAAGCCTGTGCTCCAGGAAGCTAGGGGCCTCATGGAGAGGGGAGAAGGGGAAGCATCACTCCGCTGGCATGGAGAGCCCCAACTCAGGTTCTAGCGTCTGTCCTGGGGTAGGTGGAGGCAGGGGGCCGGGGAGGGTGGTCACCCCAGGGTGACCTCAGCTTTCCCAGAGGCTCCTAGAGAACCCTGCTGCCCCCCAGCCCCCATGACTGGTGCCAGGGGAGGGGGGAGCCTTAGCTTCTGACCCAGTCCCTTGTGCTGGTGCCCTACAGCTGGACGAGTTTGTGGGGGCCTATCCAGATTACAACGAGGAGGAGGAAGAGCGAAGATATTACCGCAGAAAGAAGCTAGGCGTGATCAAGAATGTGGTGATTGCCAGCATTGGGGGGATGCTCACCTACAGTGTGTACTTGGGTAAGAGAGAGCACCCTGGGCTCCCTCCACACTCCCCCGCCCCTCCTCTCTTCAGCCAAGGCCTGAGCTGGCTTTGGAGCCAGAGTATCTGTGCTCAAATTCCTACTCCCCTACTTAATACTTGAGTGATGTGGGACAGCCCACTGGAGCCTCAGTCTCCTCATTTGTAAAATGAGGAAACTAACTTTAGCAGGAGGCCTGTAAAAGTGGGGCCCACTCTCCCTGACTCCTTTTCTCCCCATGACCCAGGCCTCAGAGGTGTGTCCTGGATGAAGAGTGGGGTTCAGCCTTCCTCATTCCCTTTGTCTGGGTCCTGGCTCCAGAAATCTGCCAGGCCAGTCTCTGTCAGAGACCCAGCCCCATTGGCTGCAGCCAGGGGAGACCAGCGGGGACTGGTCATCATCCCTCAAGCTCTGGAAGGAATCATTAGACTATGAGGGTTACCTGATCTTTGTCTCCCCTCTTCTCCCCCTAGCTGAAGGCTCAGAACTTATTTATTCATTCATTCACTCATTCATTCATTCATTCCCTTGAGTTGCTGGGGATGCTTAATAAATACTAGTTGAGTGGCTGGCTGACACACTTGTTTCCAGACTGGCCTCACTCCAGGGAGGGTCAATAATCACCCCTGAGGGTCCCAGGAAAGTGTTGACCCTGTGAGGGGGCAGGGCAGGGGTTAGGCACTGAGGATGCCTAGTGTCTGAGTCCTCAGGGCACACAGCTCAGAAGGAGGGAGGTCAGGACTGGAAGCTCCGTGGATCCCCTCACACCATCTGCTAAGGCAGAAGCTTTGGAAAGTTCTCCTCACCCAGGCTCTGGGACCACATAGCTGGCTTGGGTCTTTGGTGGAACCTGGCCTGCTTGGTCCAAGCTGTCTCCTTAGTTCTGGGGCTGTCCCATAGGCGACGTGAGATTCTCCTGCAGGAAAGGAGTCCTGCTCTGGAAGTCGCAGGTTTGGGTTTCAGCCCAGCTCCAACACTTACTCCCTAGGTGACCGTGTACAAGTCACTTCCCTTTTCTAAGTTTCAGTTTCCTCCACGGTTGGCCACCCCTCCTCAGCCTCCCTCCTGTGGGGCTTGGCAAGCATCGATGAGAGCAGACTTGGCAATCTGTAGAGGGTGATGTTATTAGACTGCATCTGGTCAGACCCGGGCAGACTTTAGAGACAGGAAAGGAGGAGTGGGTGGGTCTTTCACTCCAGCTGGGCCCAAGCTCTGAGCAAGTCATTTCTCCTGGACTTCTCATAAGCAGATGAGGAAGCAGGCCCCGGGGCACCCAGTGGGAGACCCTGACCCAGGCAGCCCTGGGCCACAGCTCAGAGCCTTAGTTCCTCTTCCATTTCCTCTCCTCCCACAGCTGCAGGAGGTCGGATTGCTGTGGGCAGGGCAGTAGGGGCCTCCTCTCCCCTTTCCCCTGGCCCCCAGGTTGATTATGGCCACCTTGGGTGTGGGGCTGCCAGGACCATCACCCCTAAGTTGAGAGCCCTGGAAGGGAAGAACCTTGGAACAGAGAACAGATAATACCAGAGCTGGGAGAGACCTCAGAACCTAGAATGCCAGAACTTGGGGGAACCTTAGAACCTTAAAACAGAGAACAGAGAATGTCAGTACTGGGAGGGACTTTAGAACATAGAATATCAGAGCTAGGAGAGACTTTGGAACATAGAATGTCAGACCTGTGAGGGAACTCAGAAACTAGGACATGGAATACTTGGGCTGAGAAGAACCTTAGAACCTGGAATGTGAGAGGTGGGAGGGACCTTAGAACATAGAATGTCAGATCTGGGAGAGATCTAAGAGAAAATAGGGACCAGCCCCCTCATTTTGCTGATGAGAAAAGAGAAAGGATGTGCCCCAGGTTCTAGAGCGCCGGGGGCATTGTACCCTCCCTGGCCAAGCCTCTCTGTCTGCCCCCCACTGACTCCCTCCTTCTGTGTCTGATAATAATTATTGTGTGGGTTATTGACCCAGCTTGTGGCTAGGGCTCTGCGGGTGGTTGGTGAGTGACCAAGTCCTTCCTGGGAACACTTCCTCTCCCCCCACTCTGGGCAGTGGGTCCCCAGTGTCAAAGAGGTGCTGCGGTCTGGCCCCTTAGCCCATAGAGCACTGCTAGAACTGGGTTCTGGACTGCTGTGAGCAAGATCCCTCCTTCCTCCCCACCTGGCCCTCCCCACAGCTGTTCTGGTCTCCTTGGGGTCGTCCAGGAGCGGGTTGACTAACTCATGGGGGGGCTTTGGCCTGGACTGGGCCTAGGCCTAAGCCCCCCTCCCCAATCCCCCAGGCCTCCTACAGATGCAAATGATTCTCCACTATGACGAGACCTACCGAGAGGTGAAATACGGCAGCATGGGACTCCCCGACATCGATAGCAAGATGCTGATGGGCATCAACGTGACCCCCGTGGTGGCTCTGCTCTACACCCCCGTGCTCATCAGGTGGGTGTGGGCAGCAGGACCAAACTGACCCCCGACCCTACACTGGCCCTGCCCACGGAGGGAGGTGCTGGGGGGCAGATGGAAGCCCTGCCTGGGCTGTCCCTCCTCAGCCAGTGTGTGGGCCTCAGTGGGATTGAGAGGCAGGAGGCCAGCCTCCTCCAAGCTTCAAATGAGGAGGCTGACCGATGAGCTCTTTGACTAATGATGCCGCCTCTTTGCCTTTTCCTGGGTTGCCTTGGGCAGGGAGTGCCCTTCCTCCTTGGTGCCGCCTCTGAGCATCCCTAGGGCCTTTCCAAGCTGGGCTGCCTCCCAGGTGAAGTCTTTCCTGGTCCTCCCCATCCCCACTCCTTCAGTTATCAGCATTCTTTCTGTCTTGAAATGATACAGGGGATACATGTTGTATCCCCTCCCATAGAATGGACTTGAGGCAGGCATTGCCTCATTTCTGTCCTTTTCTCCCCAACCCATCACACAGTGCCTAGCACACAGTAGGTGCTTAATAAATGTTTATGAACTTGAACTGAATATACCCTGCAGGTTTGACCTCACTCCCTTCAGGAAGACATAGAGTTGCAACATTTCAGAGCTGGTTGAACCTTCAGGGATCAACCTTCTTGTTTTACCATTTGGGAAACTGAGGCCCAGAGAAGGGAATAGACTAGCCTAAGGTCACGTAGTGCATTAGAAGCAGAGTCAGGACTAGACTCCAGACCCAGTGCTAAAACTGAGGCTGTTTTTTCTGCTGCCTTCCCTCCTCCTACTGTCCCTCCTGGAGCTGGAGAGGCCACCTCTCCATTTCACAGATGAGCAAACTGAGGCCAAAGGAGGTTAAGTGGGCCTTGCCCAAGTCACACAGGGCACAAGAGTCAGAGGCGGGATTTGAATCCAGGGCCTCGGCCCCCAGAAGCAATGCTGTTTTCCCTGAACTACGCTGCCCTCTGTGGACGATGTTAGTGATTCAGAGATCTGAGGGGGAAGGTTCCAATTCAGGAGGCGTCCCAGGCTGGAAGGGGCTGCTCCGGCACCAGAGGTCTTGGAGCAGAGGCTGGACGGCCACTGCCAGGCCTGGGTTGGACTTGGTGCCAGCCTCGAGGGTCTACCAGGGCTGAAGGCTGAGGGCAGAGGACAACTGACTGAGAAAGTTCTGCCCCCGGCAGGTTCTTTGGCACCAAGTGGGTGATGTTCCTGGCCGTGGGCATCTATGCCCTCTTTGTCTCCACCAACTACTGGGAGCGATACTACACACTAGTACCCTCTGCAGTGGCCCTGGGCGTAGCCATTGTGCCCCTCTGGGCCTCCATGGGGAACTATATCACCCGGTAAGCAGGGCCAGCTGGGCAGGGGGGCTGGGGTGGGGAGTGGAGGCATGGGGATGTTGGTGGCCACACCTGGCCAGGGTGGGGAGCACTGCTCAGACAGCCTGGGGCTTGGGCTGTTGTCCCAGGTGCAATGTGGGCAGATTCCATTTTTTCACTTGAACATGGGAATCTAACTCAGTTTAATTCAGCAAATATGCAAATATTTGTTAGTTGTGGCTGCTGCATGCAGCGCCTCCTGCTGGGGACTGGCTGGGGAGCCAAGTTTACAGGCTAGAAGGGAGATCAGATACCAGCACAGATAATACTGCTATTTAATATTACATGGCAAGTGTACTAGAGACATGCCTACCCAGTGCCGGTGATGTGAGCTCTGAGGGGGGAGGTCTTTATGGACCCTGGAGGTCAAGGGAGGCTTCCTGGAAGAGGTGGCATTTGAAGTAGGTCTCCCGGCCTTTGCCCAGGCTACCGTCCTGTGCGTGGAATGCCCTCCCTTACCTCTGCCCTATTAAGTCTCTAACTTACTGCAAAGCGCAGCCCAGGTACTTCCCGCCACAGGAGACCTTTCCTGACCTCCCCCCAAGTTGGCAATGCTCTTTCCCTTTGGAAATGATTGTTATATTAGCTTGCAAGAAATAGTAAATACAAAATAGTTAACTTCTCCATGTCCATGCTATGTCCCACTATACCAGGATATAAGACTGAGGATGGGGGGATTTCCCTGCCCCCTAATGTTTGTCGAGTTAAAGTGAGTTGAAATCAACAGGCAGGGGGCATCCAGGCATAGAAATCATCCTGAGCAAGGGCAGAGTGGGGAAAGTTCCAGATGTGTCAGAAGTGAGATGTCCAGTTTAGTGGCATGAGATGGAGTAGAACGGTCAAAACTGCAGAGGGAAGCACCAGGTGAACAGGGAGCAGCTGGACAGCTCCCAGAACATCTGTGAGGCTCCGCTGGAGGATCTGGGGGATGAGACCATGTCCATGCCAATGCTCCATGTTCTCTGGCAGGATGTCACAGAAATACTACGAGTATGTGAATTACAAGGAAGAGCATGTTCAGGAGCAGAGGCGTCCCCCGCGGGGGGCCCATACGCCCTATCTTGTCATCTTCCACACCATCTTCTATAGCTTCTTCCACGTGAGCATGGGCAGGGCTGGGGCAGGGGTGGGAAGCCTTGGGAGAAGGAGCCAGAAGAATTTCTAGCCTGGAGCAGTGCTTGGTGGGGAGACATTGAGAAGATGGCCCTCCCCCAATCCTTTCTATCCAGCCCCCTCCTCTCACCTGGCTCTGCTGGTGGTACTCAGGTCTTTGAGGATGGCACAGTAAAGAGGGTGCTTGGTTTGGACTCAAGAGAGACCAGGGCTCACAGCCTGCCTCTGATAGTAGCAATGTGACTGTGAGCAAATCACCCTACTGCTTGAAGCCTCAGTTTCCTCCTTTGTGAAATGGGAATAATAATGCCTGGAAGCCTAGCCTTCCAGATCATAAAAGAAATCAGCACCTTACCCCCCTTCCCCTCCACTGTGTGACATTAAATGGCTTTGGGGGTAGGGACAGGATTGCCTGGTATCACCCTATTGTGAGGAGCTAGCATGGTATGGCAGAAAAGGGCCTGGATTTGGAGTGAGAGGACCTGGCCTAGTATCTCAGTTCTACCTGTATGACCTTGGGCAAGTGGCTTGACTTCTTTGGACCTCAGTTTCCTCCTCTGTAAAATGGTACTTGCTGACCTCAAAGATCCTCTCTAGTTCTCAATCTAGTATTCCATGACCTATAAATGCCCCTAGAAGGCTGGTTGTGGGGCTCAGCCCCTAACTGGGAGGCGGGCATGGCTCGGGATCACACGGCCACCACCTCTAGCCCCCCACTCTCCTTTCCTGCAGCTCAGTTTTGCCTGTGCCCAGGGGCCCATGGTCTTCTTCCTCAATGGGTACTTGTACGGTCGGAATCACACCCTCTATAATGTGCATAACTGTGGTGAGTCTGAAACCCGACTCTGTGGCTGGGGTTGGGGTGGCAGGGACAGGGAGGGGGTACCCAGCCTCAATGCAATTCAACAAGCATCGATCTACTAAGCCTGTGCTATGTGCAGTCACAGAACTTCTGTTTGCCTCAGTTTCCTCATCTATAAAATGGGGTTAATAATAGCACCTCTCTCTCAGGGTTGTCGTGAGGATCCAATAAGAGAATGTTTGAAAAAAGCTTAGCACAGTGCCTGGCACACAGTAGGCGATGTAGAAACGTTAGCTACGATGATGACGATGAAGGTAAGCCAGGCACTGTGCCAGATGCCAGGGAGACAAAGAGACGGGCACCCCCAGGGTGCCTGTGTTCTACCTGGACAGAAACATGTAGATACAACGCAGCATTTCAGAAACAATCACGAGCCGGAGCATCAGCTAGCGCAAGTATTCCAATGGGCTGAGGAAAAAGTGGAATATATGGGAATCAGGGACTTCAATTACAGAGTTTCTTTTTGAAAAGTGAATGTTAATTAACGCAGTAGTAACAAAATTGCCCTGCTCCTTTAAGGCCCCTTCTGAGCCTTCTGTGTTCTTTTGTTTCCTTCTGTATTTTTCAATGTTGTATTGACGCTCTTTTCTTTCTTGGGTTTTTTGTTTGTTTCTTTTTGTATCTGTCACTTTCGAATAATTCACCTCCCTCTACAGAAGCCCTCCTTTATAACAAATAAGTCTAGTCAACCAAAACAAATTGACCCATTGGCCAAATATATGGTAATTTGAAGAGGAGTAGAACAACGGTGACTGGGAGGATTCGGAAAAGTCTCATGTGCGAGGCGGCCCCTGAGCTGCCCCGTAAAGCACACAAGCGAGTCCAGAAGGGAGAGGTGAGGACGGAGGGCAGTCTGGAGAACAGTAAAGCAAGCGGATTTGGGTGGAGACAAAGTCATGCAGCTAGGGTCTAGCAGGCAGTTGGTGATGTGGGATGGAACTCAGGAGAGAGATTAGGGCTAGATATATAGCTCTGGCAGTCATCTGCATAGAGATGATGACTGAACCCATGGCAGCTGATGAGATCGCCAAGCAAGATAGCATAGTGTGGAGGGGGAAGAGGGTCCAGGATAGCTTTGGGGGAACATCTGAGCATAGGGGATGGAAATAGGCCAAATGACAAACTGTCTAATTGCTGGAGGCTGCCATGAGAAATGTGCCATGACATAGTCAGTGTCCTCAAAAGTCAAATGAACTTAGAGTCATGCGACCTGAGTTAGAATCCCAGCTTGCTACTTATGTGACCCAGGACAAGTCCCTTCCCCTCTTGGAGCCTCAGTTTCCCCATCTGTAAAATAAAGGGAATAGATTTATCTATCTAGCCTTTGAGGTCCCTTCCTCTAATAGGTTTTACTTCTAAGGAACACACCAAGGTGGACTGGGGTGGTCAGGGAAGAATTCCTGGAGAACATGGACCTTGAAGGACAGCTTGGGTTTGGAGAAGAGGGAATGATTATTCCGAATATTGCTCTCTTTAGAGAGATTCTGGACCAGCACAAAAGCTCTGTTCATCCTGGTCCAGGAAATGCGCTTGCCTCAGTTGAGTCAAAGCTGGGGCTTCATGTGTGTCTCAGCAGCACTTTCTCTGTGAAGGTAACATTGTTGAGCCCCCAGTGGGCCATGTGCTTTGGGTTGTGATCTCAAGATGGGAAGGATTGGCTTGTATAAGCCACACCTTCCTACCCAGGTCTCCTTGAGAACATCACATGTTTGTAAGATGGTTACAGAGGTTAAGGGTTCAACTTGGGACCAGGGTCAGGCACTTGGCCTGGGGCTCAGCATGGGCTGTGGTTAGGGTGAGAAGCTCAGCCTCTGGCCTAGGTCCATTGGTCAATCTTTGGATGAGAATTAAAGCTAAGTGTTGGTACACTGGGAGATAGAGCCTGTGACCTTGGCCTCTGACCTCGATCCAAACAGCAGCAGCAGACCCATGAACGTGACAGTGCCAGCGACAGCCTGGGGTGGCTTTGGGAGCAAATTGGCTTAATTTCTGTCACTGCTTCTGTCCTTGTGACTCCTGTCCCATCTCACAGTGACTTTGTGTCTTCTTGTGTCCCCCAGGCACCAACAGCCATGGGATCCTCATTGGCTTCAACAAGACTGTGCTTCAGAGACTGCCCCACAGCCAAAACCTCATCATAGTTGAGAGTGTGCTCATGTCGGTGGCCTTTCTGGCCATGCTGCTGGTAAGGATTCCTTCAGCCCTGGCCAAGCATCCATCCTCCCTGTGAAAGCTGGAGGAAAAGGGTGGGGGGAGGGATTATGATAAGAGATGGGGCAGGAAGGGCTTGGGGAGGGGTTGGAGGACAGGGAGACCTGTGGGAAGGGGATCCCTGGTCTTCACAAAAAGGTGTCCCCCATGGACAGCACAAACTAGCCCTACTCCTAGGCCCCAAAGGAGCCACGAAACAAATTCTGTTCAGTGCAAGAAGTGCCTTCTGGGTGCAGTGCTTAGCCATTCTGTGGGAACTCCAAATCAGACCTGGACACTCTCCTTGGGGAGCTCATAGGGTGAGGAGATAAGTCTCCTCTGGAAGGTTACCTGTGAGCACAAGCTTGTGAGGGAGTGCCTGTGGGTGGTAAAGATTGTCAGGGCTCTGGGCCCCTCTGGTGCTCAGGACACATTTCCAGGTGGGCCTGGGTAGGATATGGGCCCCGTAGGCCCATATTGGGTAGAGATTGGGGCTGGATGGGTATCTGAACATCCCTAGATCTCAACCTAGATTCCTAGATTGGAACTCAGAGCCCTTGGCATCAGAGGACTAACCTGGAGCTGACACCTGGCTTTGATGTTTATGAGTCTTGTGACCTTGGGCAAGTCCTCAACGAGAAGAAGAACAATAATATTGGCTGACATTTTAAGTATTCTTATTTCTTTTCACAACCATTTATTATCTCTCCCCCAACAATTAAAAAAAAACAAAAACCTTCACGAAAAATGTGCCTAATCCAGACAAACACATCCCCACATTGGCCATACCCAAAGGCATGGATCATTCTTCATGTTCAGTCTGTCCCTGTTGGGCAGGAGGTTGGTGACATATTTCCTCTTCTGTCCTCTAGAATCATAACTTATCATCGCATTGAACAGAGATCCAGAGCTTTTCAGAGTTGGTTTTTTCCTGTATAATGTTATTGTATAAATTGTTCTCCAAACTATGCTCGCTTCACTCTGCATCATTTCATAGAGGTCTGCCCAGCTCCCTCTGAAACGATCCGTCGCATCATTTCTTACAACACAAATATTTCATTGCATTTGGAGACCAGAATTTGTTTAGCCATCCACCAATCCCGCAGTGTCCAATTTTTGACCATCAATAATTTTGTACGTCTGGATCCTTTTCCTCTTTCTTTGGTTTCTTTCAGATATAGCCGTGTTACAGCTAGCCAACGTTTATGTAATGCTTCAAGGTTTGCAAAGCACATTATCCAGCTCAAACCTGACAACAGCCCTATAAAGCAAGCGCTGTTATTATTGGCATTTTACATATGGAGTAGAAGAGGTTCCAGTAACTTGCCATGCTCACCCAGATAATAAGTGTCTGAGGCAAGATTAGAAACCAGGACTTTCTGAACCAACCCAGTGGTTTCTCCACTCTGTCGTTCTGGGCTTTAGTTTCCAGCACTGCAAGTTGAGAGTTGGGCTGGAAAATCTCTAAGTCCTGTTCTAGTTCTAAGTTTATAAAAAGTGTGCTCCAGAAGAGGCAGGCAGTGTGATGTAGAGAATAAGCATCAGAGAAACAGCTTGGCATAGTGATGGAGTGTCAGGAAGGTCTGGGTTTATTGAATCTATTTCTCCCTCTTGATGATTGGAGTTGGCTTTACAAGATAAGTTATTTTGAGTTGTAGCTTGAGTATCTTTGAGTTTTGGAATATACTATTTCATTCTCTTCCGTGCTTTCTCATGAATGTAGAATACTTTTGTATTGTTCATTTTTGAAAGTCTTTCTCTTGACTGCTTGCAGAATTTATTCTTTGTCATTAAAATCATCCAATTTAAACATTACTTGCAATGACATTTGAAGTGTATTTTTCTTCTGACACTGATTAGTGGATCCTCTTGATCTATGTTTTATATCCTGTATTCAGAAGTTCTGGATAGTTTTCTTGTACTATTTCCTATAGGATGGTGTTCAGGTCCTTAGTTTATCATGCCATTCAGGAAGACCTCTGGTCCTTAAGTTAACTCTACATTTTGTCAGCATATTTGAATTGTAGAGAATCCATCTATTCTTTTTAACTTTTACTTCTCTTCTGCCAGATTCTCTTCTGTTGAAGTATTTTTGCGTTCCGAGTAGATGATTTTCTTTCTTAAAGCTTCTACTTCTTTGCAGAAGCCCTCCATTATGCATTTAATTTTTGCTATTCTGCTATTTTTGTTTTTAAGTTCTGCATTGAGAGCACAGATTCCTTTCCTTAAGAGTTCTCCGTGTCTGTCTCTCGCTGTCCTTTTCCGTTTCTCTCTGTCTCTCTTTCTGTCTCTGTCTCTGTCTCTCTTTCTGTCTCTGTCTCTGTGTCTGTCTCTGCCTCTGTCTCTCCCTCTGTCTCTGTCTCTGTCTCTGTCTCTGTGTCTGTGTCTCTGTCTCTGTCTCTGTCTCTCTCTCTCTCTCTGTCTCTCTTCCTGTCCACATTCTGGAGTTTCTTGCTGCTGCAGTTCCATAACCTCTGGAGAGTGAGTGCCCAAGATACTTTATTTCATGAAGTGATATTGGCTTATTTTCCTCCATACCATAATATTTGTTCAAAGTGCTTTGTTTCCCCTTGAAGTTGGACTCATTCTTCCTTTAGTTTTCATAATTCCATGCTTGTGAGCTAGGTTGGTATTCAGGTTTTCTCTCTCGCTCTTTTGGATTTTCTGCTCTATTTTCTGTCACTTGCCTTTGAGAATCCTGCTCACTCTTCTCCTGTTTCACAGATCCCCCTTCCTCCTGCCTCCTGGGCTGGGCTGCCAGGCATCCTGAGCACCTTTGTAGTGAGGGGCATCAAAGATGAGGTCCCTGATGTAAGCAACGTCCCCAGGCAGTCCTTCCTCGGTTGGGTTTCTCATCTCCCTTCCTTCACCTCTAGGCTGTGGCTCTGAGTCTTCCTCCTTGCCAGACTCTTCTCTCTCTCTCTCTCCTGATCATTGTCCCCCTTCCTTCCTTCTTGTGCCAAAGCAGAGTCAGGGACTCCTGTTTCTTGCAGGGTCAGATACTAGCCCTTCAAGTCACTGACAGGGCCACTGATATGTCCAGATCCTGAGTCATAGGCACTGGGGCTTATGTGTGCTAACATTAGTGAGCTGATGGGGTCAGGTCAGGCAGGGATGCTGAATGGTAGCTCTAAATAGGAAGGGGCTCTGGGGTCAGTTCGTGAAGTTTTGCCCTTGTGTGGTGTTTCTATCTTCTTTTCTTGTGAATTTAGCTGCAATTACTCTACATCTAGCGCGTTTTCAGAAAACAATTATTCCATCATTTTAGTGCATATGTGATCCAGAATTTAGGAAAACCTCCATTTGAATCTGCCTCAGATCTTTACTAGCTGTGTGACCATTAAACAGATCATTTCACTTTTCTGTGTATCAGTTTCCTTGTCTACTAAACGGGGCTAATAATGCATGTTGTCCTGATCTTGTAAGGTTGTTGTAAGGATGAAATGAAATGATATATGTAAAGTGCTTTGGAAACCTTAGAACACAAAAATGTCAGCTATTATTCTTCTTCTTCTTATTGCTCACATTTGGCTTCACACTGACCAGGTGTGTGACCTTGGGCAAGTCACTCACCTGCACCCGAGCTGTAAAGTGGGGATGAGTCCACTGACCCAGCCTCCCCTACAGGGTTGCTCCACCAAAAGTCCTTTGTAGGCTTCCAAGGGTGACGGAGCCACGCCCTGTGATTCCGCCCCGTAGATCCTGGCCCTCTGCGGCTCCGCCTACCGGCCCACAGAGGAGATTGACCTTCGCAGCGTGGGCTGGGGAAACATCTTCCAGCTCCCTTTCAAGCACATGCGTGATTACAGACTGCGCCACCTCTTCCCTTTCTTCATCTACAGCGGTTTCGAAGTGCTCTTCGTCTGCACTGGCTTCACCCTGGTATGTGGGGGGCTCCCCGGTGACTCAGGGACCCCCTCTCCCTGGGTCAGGGTGCCCTTGGGGTATTTGTCCCCATATCCTTGACATATTCCAGCAGTTCTCAGGCGTTTTGTCTTGTGCTGAAGGAATCCAGGAGGCTCTCACCTGGTTCCTAGCAGTGAGTGAGTGGCTCCCTGTGGCCCAGAAGCTTGGAGGCCTCCATCCTTTCTCTCTGCAGGGCTATGGTGTGTGCTCCATGGGCCTGGAATACTTGGCGCCCATCCTCATGGCCTATGGCTTCGGCGCTGCTGTCTTCTCCAGCCTTGGGCTCCTTCAGCTGTGTCTGCCCCGACAGGTGCCCCTGGTGGCGGGGGCTACCGTGCACCTGCTGCTCATCCTTGCCTTCTTTTTCTGGGCCCCTCTCCCGCAGGTCCTCAGCCACAGCTGGGTCTTCTACATGGTGGCTGTGCTCTGGGGTGTGGGCAGTGCCCTCAACAAGATTGCATTAAGTAGTGAGTACCGATGGCGGGGGATGGGGGGATACATCATCATCCTTTGTTGTTACTGAGTGATTTTTCAGTCATGTCTGACTCTCCGTGACCCCATTTAGGGTTTCCTTGGCTAAGGTACTGGGAGGCTTTGCCATTTCCTTCTCCAGCTCATTTTATAGATGAGGAAACTGAGGCAAACAGTTAAGTGATTTGCCCAGGGACACACAGATAGTAAGAGTCTGAGGCTGGATTTGAATTCGAGAAGATGAGTCTTCCTGACCTCAGGCCTGGTGCTCTATCCACTGAGGCACCTAGCTGCCCATGCTGATAATTGCTCACCTTTCTATATCGCCTTAAGGTTTGCAAAGCACTCCATGTCTTACCTCATTTGATCCCCATAACAACTCTGTGAGGTAGGTGCTACCATTAGCATTCCTATTTTACAGATAGGGAAACTGAGGCTAAGAGAGACTAAGTCACTTTCTCAGGGTCACATAGTTAGGAAGTATTGGAAGCAGAATTTGTACTCAGGTCTTCCTGACTCTGAGGCCAGTGCTTTATTTATTTCACTTCCTAGGTGCCAAGACCTGAGACATGAGGAATGGCTATGGGACCAGATTTACGTATGGGGGTGGGGTTTGGGACAGGCAGGAGACCCTGCATATGGATTGTGGGACTGCGCTGGGGTCCGACACAGGACCCTAGACCTAGGGTTGAAGATGGGGGGTCCCATTTACCAACCCAGAGGGTCAGGCATCCTGAGCACCTTTGTAGTGAGGGGCATCAAAGATGAGGTCCCTGATGTAAGCAACGTCCCCAGGCAGTCTTTCCTCGGTTGGGTTTCTCATCTCCCTTCCTTCACCTCTAGGCTATGGCTCTGAGTCTTCCTCCTTGCCAGACTCTTCTCTCTCTCTCTCTCCTGATCATTGTCCCCCTTCCTTCCTTCTTGTGCCAAAGCAGAGTCAGGGACTCCTGTTTCTTGCAGGGTCAGATACTAGCCCTTCAAGTCACTGACAGGGCCACTGATATGTCCAGATCCTGAGTCATAGGCACTGAGGCTTATGTGTGCTAACATTAGTGAGCTGATGGGGTCAGGTCAGGCAGGGATGCTGAATGGTAGCTCTAAATAGGAAGGGGCTCTCACATTTGTGATGAGAAACCCAATCCAGGTGGGACCCTGGGTGTAGAAACTGAGAGGCCTCAGCCAGGCCATGCCTTCTACCCTCCACAGCCCTCCTTGGGATTCTGTACGAAGATAAAGAGCGTCAGGATTTCATTTTTACCATCTACCACTGGTGTCAGGCCCTCGCCATCTTTGCGGTCTACCTAGGCTCCAACCTGCCCATGAAGGTGAGACGGGGTGGCAGGTGTGCACGGAAGGGGAGGTCAGAGTGGCCCCCTGGGAATCCAGGGCGTTAATAGAAGAACATTCATCTTTCTCAAGCACCTTGTCTTTTTGCAATTTTCGTTATCAAAATATTTGTTTCTACCTCACTCTCATCTCTAAAGGTATCTGTATCCCCTCTCTTCCCACTCCTTCTAACTCTAAAAAAAGAAACAAGATGAGCAGACCTGACCAGCTTTCTCAGACTGTAGCCTTGTGCACACCATTTCCCTAGGTTTGCTCCCTTTGCATCAGTTCAGGTGGGTCTTCTCGTGCTTCCTGAATTCTTCCACTGTTTCAAAGCGCTTCTAAGCCCCTTCAGTTTTGCAGGTTTCTCCTCACAGCAGCCTTCTCTCACTCCTGCATCTTTGCACAGGCTGTGCCCCATGCCTGCCATGCCTTCCCTCCTCTGCTCTGCCTCTTCGAGTCCCTGGCTTCCTTCCAAGCCCAGCTCAGCTGCCCCTCCCCCTGCCCCAGGCCCTGGCTACTTCCTTCTTGACTCCTATGACTTTGTACATAGCCTGTGTTTTGTTTTTTTGGTTTTTTGGTTTTTTTGGCTAGGCAATGGGGTTAAGTGAGTTGCCCAGGGTCACACAGCTAGTGAGTGTTATGTGTTTGAGGCTGGATTTGAACTCAGGTCCTCCTGAATCCAGGGCCAGTGCTCTGTCCACTGCGCCACCTAGCTGCCCCATAGCCTGTGTTTGCTTATCTGTGCACATAGTACATGCCCCTAAGAGACCCCAAGCTCCTCCAGGTAGGGTATACAGTGGGGGCTTAATAAATGTTGCTTAAATTGAACTGAGCCCAGGGGGGTGGCTTGCCATTCAATCACTCAACCAACTAGCAAGCTCTATTAAGCATTTAAAGAACATGAATTGTGGAGTCACAGGACCTGGATTCAAATGCCGCCTCAGATGCTCGCTGCCTGTGTGACCTTGGCCAAGCCACTTCCCTTTCTCTGGGCCTCAGTTTCCTCATCTGTAAAATGAGGGAGTTGGATTTCACAGCCTCTGGGTCCCTAAAACTCAGAGAGGGAAGGGCTTTGCAGCCCTCCCCGCCCCCCAATCACAGTTACAGATCAGAGGAAGCCTTTGAACTCAGGACTCTCAACTCCCGAGTCCCAGAATCTGGGAGCCCAGTGATGAGGAGGGGGGAGGGGAGAACAAGCCTTACCCTGCCAGGTCTGGTACCAAACATTTACTGAGTGCTGGCTTGTGAGGAATGAGGGGTAGTCTCTGCCTTTAAGACCCTCCAGTGTCCCTGGGAAGGCAGGACATACACTGTTTAATGGCCCAAAGACCAGCAGAAGAGCCTTCCTGGGCTAGTCGCGCCTTGGTGAGGACGGCAGCCGGTAAGCAAAGAGGCAGGCCTTGGGGGAAGGGACTCAGAGGCCCCCTGGTCCAAGCCCCATCACACTGTCCTTGCCATGTTGGTGCAGCCTGGCTTCTTGAAGGGGATGGCTGGGGAACTGACCTTGAAGGACAGGTAGCCAGGGCCTTCCTAGCAGGAAGACTGGTGAGGAAGACTGCATGAAATGTGTGCACATGTACGTATGGGAAGGAGGGGAGATGCTGAGTCCAACAGGGCTGGCTCAGGGGCACAGCCAGTGTGGGGTGGGGGTTGGGTAAGAGGAAGAAGGGCAAACCCTGTTGGGCCAGGGTCACGGGCATGTCCAGGACGGGGGGAGGGCAGGGGAGCCCCTGAGTAGCCCCTGCTTCTCCCCTCCAGGCCAAGCTGGCCATCTTGCTGTTGACTGTCCTGGTGTCTGTGGCCTCCTACCTGTGGATGGAGGCCAAGCTCAAGCAGCGCGTAGCCTACCGCCTGCCCCGAATTCCCCGGCCCCAGCACAAGGTGTGCGGTTACCGTTACCTGGAAGATGACAACTCCGACGAGACAGGCTCGGAAAATGAGCAGGGCTCAGCCCATAGCCGAGATGGCTCAGACAACGAGGATGGTGATGGGGAGCCACTAGCAACGGGGGCGCTGGGCCCCGGCAGAAGGCGCTACCCTTATGAGCAGGCCCTGGATGGGGAGGATGGGCCCGGGCAGGAGTAACCGCCAGCAGACTCTTCCTGAGCCTGTGTGCTCTCTGCCCCACGGCCCCTTGATCACCCCCTCCCCCGATCCCCCTCAGGCACCCAGAGCAGCACTAGCCTTTGGGGCTCCAGTCAGATTTAACCACTTTAGTTCTTGGCGCACCTGAAGTAAGCCTTCTCTTCCCTGGACCATCTCTGAAATGGGTACCCTGTCAGAGGAACCTCTGATACCTGTCCACGTTGCCAGGATCTCAGTGTGGTTCAGTAAAACCGCTCCTAACCAGACTCCCAATTAACCAACAACCTCAATTAACGGGAATTCGTTTTGAGGAGAGAGGTTCAGCATGAGGAAGAAGACACCAGTGGCCAGAAGAGGAGGAACTTGCTGGCCCCGGCCTGGGCTTGGTAGCAACAGTCCAGCCTCCTGCTTCTCTTGCTCCAGCCTCCTCCCTGTACTGTGACTGCCCACGTTCACAGCGACAGTTCTGAATCGAGCCAATTCTGACTTAGGCAGGAAAGGGGACTTGAGGCCCCTCACACTGACATTGGGCTCTTGGGGGGCTGGGGGAGTGGCCCTCATTCCCCCAGAGTGTAGCATGACTTCTCTGTCCCTCTTCTGCCGACGTTGAGGTTCCCCGGTGGGAGATGGGCTTCCCTCATAACGGCTCCGGTATCTGCTTCCAAGATTCACTGCTTTTTAAGTCACTGGCTTATGTCTGAGTTATCAATCTCAGGCTTCCTATATGTGGTTAGAGGGGAACTGGAGGGAGAAGGGATGTGGTCATTGGGCTTGAGCAGGGACTCAGATCTGGGTCAAGATGGAGGGGCACCCTGGGGAGTGGGGGCAGGGCAGTTGGGGTCTTGGCAGTCCAGTGCCAGAGGCAGTGTGGGCTGGGGAAAAGAGTGCTGGACAAACTGTGAAAGGTGCTGGCTCTGATGACTGTTTGGCCTTGGCCAATCAACCGATCATCAATATTTATTAAGCACCAACTATGTGCCAGGCACTGTGGAAAGACAGCCCTGCCCTCAAGGATCTCCCAATCTAAGGGACAAACCTCTTCCATCTTGGCATCTGAGTTTCCCCATCTGAACACCTGAGGGGGCTGGGCTGCCTAGATGGCTTAGCTCCCTTCCAGTTCTAAAATCTGGTGGTCCTTGATGGACATCTGGATAGAGTTGAGCAAACTGACTGTTGCCCCCTTGTGGTGGCCAGTAAGCACTGCATGTACCGGGCCTTGGAGAAAGGGGCCCCAGGAGCACCCAGCTCAGCTTCTTCCAGAGCAGGTATCTCTTCCACAGAGGTCCACACTCCTTTCCCCTCAACCCCCCGGGGCCACCCAGCCTCTGCTGGCAGAACTCCCGTGATGGGGAGCCATTTCCACTTTTCCATTACATTTAGCAAACGTTTATTAAGCATCTACTGTGTGCAAAACACCAAGCTGGTGATGGGGAGACAAAGATGAAAACCAGGCCCTGCCCTCAGGGAGCTTACCTTCCACTGGAGGACACATTAGGTAAATAGAGAAGGAAATAGAAGAGGAGGGAGGAGAAGAAGCGTTCTGTCCATTGGTATTGTCTCCCAGCTGAGCTTTGAAGGAAGGGAAGGCTCCTCAGAGGCTGAGGTGAGGAAGGATCGTGCTCCTGGCATGGGGGACAGCCAAAGCAAAGAGACAGAGGTTGGAGATGGAAATACCCCCTCCCCTACCCCTAGTCCTGATCTCTGAGACCAAGCTGACAAAGTCGAGTTTCTCTTCCTCATGGCCAACCTTCAGATAGTTTGAAAGAAGATATTAAGTCCCCTTAAGAATAATAGTCAACAGAATGAAGTAACAAAAAGAAGCATTTATTAAGTGCCAACTGTGTACCAAACACGCTGGTGCTACAAATAGAAAAACAGACAGTCCCTGCCCTCAAGGAGGTCCACTTCTAATGGGAAAGACTATAGGGGGCAGAGGCCATGATGACCACAACAACTTAGAGGAAAACAACTTGGACCTGTGTGGGGGTGAATCCTCCCATCAAAAGTCTGAGTCAGAATCCAGCCTTGCCATGCTAGGCAGAGCAGAGATGGCCCAACTGTTGATTTGTTTGGCTTACCTCTGCCTATTGATGACAAGGGAAGGTGGGCTTCCATTTAGGAGAAATGGGGGAAATTAGTGGATGATGACTGAGATCATAAAAAAAGAAGAGAAAAGCACGAATAATCAACATTAAAAATACATGGAAGAAAACAAGGTTAGTAGGGATGCAAACATCAGGGCAATTTTGTTACTATCTTGTTAAATTTAATATGCACTTACAACTGTAAAAGCCAGAAATGGACAATTTCATGTATAATCCTCTTTTATGTTCTTTGTATATTCAAATAATTGTTTTTGATCATTTTTAATTTCAAAATAAAAAGTGTTTCTTTTCTTTTTTTAAGAGAGAATCCAAGTTCAAGATGGGTGAGGAGATAGTCAGAGGACACAAGGCCACTCTAAATGAGTCCCATGAACTATGTACCAGGGAACTGAAAGAGCTTTTTAGATGTGGTTTTGAAACTACACTTGGTGGTCTTTGATGAGTCAAGGAGAATTAGGAGAAGTGCCTTAGGACTGGAGACGAGTAACATCTTGGTTTCCCAAATGCTACAGTCTGGTAAGCTTGTAATTTACTCTTGGCAAAATGCTCAAGCAGATTACGAAGGAAAGACTATGGCATGACCAAGTCTTGATGAAGCTAAGCTACCTTTTAGTGACCACTAGCTCCATTTCTAAATCCAGACAAACCATCCCTTTAATTATACATTAGAGAATTTTCCTAGGGATCACGTCAAGCTCTGTGGCCTATGTAGAATCTAGGTGCTCCCAACTCCTCCCCTTTATAAGATCGGAACACCTGCTTGCCTTTCTCTACTCCTGTGGCTTCTCTGTCATCTTTCCTAATCTTTTTTTTTTCCCCATAAGGCAATCAGGGTTAAGTGACTTGCCCAGGGTCACTTAGCTAGTGTCAAGTGTTTGAGTACGGATTTGAACTCAGGTCCTCCTGACACCAGGTCTAGTGTGCTATCCTCTGTGCCACCTAGCTGCCCCCTCCCCAATCATTCTTGCAAATTATGTTGTTTTCTGTTCAGATTGTGCAATGTTACTGCGGGTTCCTTGAAGGTGCGGGTTGCTTTTGTTGACTGTCCGGAATCCGGGCTCTAGGCTGCTACTGCAAACTGCCTCATAGTCCCAGTGAAGGACTATAAAAAATGTGTTTTCCATTTGAAAACTTGGTTGCCTCTGAAGAGAACTATGGGAAGGTACCCACTCAACTGGTAGTTATTTTGACCAAAGTGTTCCCATCACAAGCCAGTTGTGCCCCATCAACTATGCCTTCTTCAATCTTGTCCATTCTGCACCACCTTTATTTGATCTTTCTGTATTTTCAAAAGCTTATTGGAAATTGTTCTGCTCTACGTATTGGTAAATATGAGATAATATTTGTGAAGTCCTTTGCAAACTCTAAAACATACTCTGCTTGGATGATGACCTTGATAATGACACATGTTCATGGTACAGATCTTTTCTTGTGGCTGCAAGAAAGAAACGTTGCCTTGGCTAAGTCATTGTGTTCTCCATGCTAGCCTCCATAGTCGTTTCACAGACCTCTCCTACTGACCCTGTTAGTTGTCTTAAACTGACCAGTGCTGACAGACGCCCTCTTTGGGATAATGAAGCAATCTCCTTCTGGGTACCTCGTCCCACAAAAGCAGCAAGAGGTGACTGTGTCAGAGCATTGATTGCAGAACCAGGAAGGATGACTCACTCACTCACTTGGCTTTAAAGGGAAAGGATTCTCCTGCTCTTTTCTTTCCTCTCTTTGGAACATAAGACGTGGAGCTCTCTCGGGAACTTCCTGTGATGGGATTCAGAGGAGCAGTGGGTGCATGTGCTACCTAGACAAGGAGGAGCCCAGGCCCTTAGAACCTGGCTGTGCCTCCTTTCTGTTTCCTTACCTGAGCCCAGGCGCCTGGGAAGCAACCTCATGATTGGGAGGTCAGGAGCTTCTGGGTTCCTCAGGTGACGCTGGTCACACAGTAGTGGAAGGTCAGAAGATGACCTGCACCAAGAGGAGAAGGAGTCCAAGCCCTGTCCTAGACTGCCAGAATACAAGGGCCTTGAGGGGGCTCTCCCTACAATGCAGAACTGAGGTAAAGGCAAAATGCCCATTCAATCATCTCATTAAATGTCCCATGTTTCAAGTATTAACCTGCTGTGAGAATATAATAGGACTTTTTGATTGTTGTTTCACGTTTTGAATTTTTGTCAATGTGCACTTATGAGTTCTTTGTGTTTTAAGCATTTCTTTTGTTTGGAGGAAATAAATAGCTGTCCTATACCTTATTTATACTGCCCATTGAGTACCTCTTCTGACGCCTTGAGGAGAAACCTTAGACAGGAATCAAACTTGTGATTAAGGGGAGCTAGGTGACGCCATAGCGCACAGAGTGCTGGGCCTGGAGTCAAGAAGACTTATCTGAAATTAGTTAAATTAAATTAAGTTAAAATGCAACTCATCTTCCTGAGTTCAAATCTGGCCTCAGACACTTATTAGCTGTGTGATCTTGGGCACATCACCCTGTTTGCCTCAGTTCTCTCATCTATAAAGTGAACTGGAGTAGGAGATAGCAAACCACTGCAGGGTCCTAGTCAAGAAGAGAGTAGGACACAGCTGAAATAACTGTACAGCAACAAGACTTAAGCTTTAGGTCATTTCCCTCTGGGTTCTGGGGTGGGAGCATAAAGAACCAGGAGTCTGAGAGAGTCTGACTCCTTCCTGGCCAAGTTCCCCCAGGGCTGAACCTGGTTGGCATGTGAGATAGGGGGCCCTTAGTGGGAAAGGGTGAAGGCCCAGCCCTGGGCCCACAGCATCTGTTTTTGTCCCAAGATGGGGTGGTCATTTTCCTCCAAAGTTCCTGTCATTTTTACTTCAGCAACCAGTTTTTGCTTGTTGACTAGATCAAAGCTAATTAGATTAATTTTAGCAGGAGTAAATGTGTAACTGGAACAAGAACCTTTCCTCTAACAGAAAGAACATAGGAGGGAAATTACCAGCTTCCTCCGTTTCCTTTTAGAATTGCTAAATGCCTCCTTGAGGCTTCCTGAAACTTTAAGGCAATTTGCCAGGCCAGGGCCTTAGCTGTCAGGGGCATGATGGAAATTGAAAGGAATTTACTCTCCCAAACTCAGTTAAGACTGAGGACTGGGGGGAGGGGACTCTTTTTCATTCTTTGCTCCAAGGGATGGCTGTATGTATAGGTGGGTGTGGGATGGGGTTAGCTATATTTGGAAATTAAAATGCAATTAGAAAGATATCGATAAAATAGAACAAAGAAATGGTCTTGTTAGCTATCTGTTAGCTGGATGTCGTGATTGATGTCCAAATAGCAAAAGAGCTGAAAATGCCTTGCCTATCTCCCCTAGGCACGTTGGCCCTCCTTCCACCTTCTTGGGGAAAAATAAAAGCTGTAGCACGACGACTGTTCCAGCAGATGGCAGCAGCCTACCACCCGCTTCAGAGATGGGGTGGAGAGGCCATGGCAAGGGCAGCTCTGGGGCCTTGCCCGGCAGAGCCAAGGATTCAGAGAGGGTGGCCCGAAAGACAGCGGTCCAGTCATGTTGGAAGTGTGTTACAGATGCAAAAAAAAACCAAAAACCCACACACAGCTGAAAAAGTAC